TGTTAGTAAAAACAAACCAGATCCCAACCATATTTGGGTTTTTGCTACCTGGGCACAGCAGGCTTTGACAACACTTGTAATGTTTCCTAGCAAGAACCAAACCTTTAACAGCAAAAATCTATTCAATCATGGTACATGGCCTGTACTTATATAGCGCTTTTTCAAGTCAGGAGACTTGACCAAAGCACTTTACACTACATTCAGTCATTCACCCATTCACACACACACTAATGGTGGCAAACTACATTGTAGCCACAGCTGCCCTGGGCCTCACTGACAGAAGCGGTGGTGCCGTACACTGGCACCACCGGGCCCTCTGACCACCATCAGTAGACAATGCAGGTGAAGTGTATTGCCCAAGGAAACAACGACACTGAAAGTCGGAGTCAATCCTTCGATTTCAGGGCGAACTCCTACATCCGACGCCACTGTCGCTCCTATTCAATCATAAAAAAAAATAATCAATGAACTAATGCATTCCATAATGTCACAGGAGGCTCCCTGTCAGTAAGGACACGCCTGCTCTGTCCTCTTATTTAAGGGCGTCACTCAGCTCTTGACTGTAACTTTAAGATGTGATACCAGTTGTTGCTTTAAGACAGCAATTTCTACCTTTTTTTGTTCTTTATCAGACTCTAAAGTCCGAGACATTTGTTTAAACAGCTTCTGCAGGGTAAAGGTTATCCAGAAAGGGACTATCATGGGCACTTAGTTGATGCTAAAACTTACCGCACTGAAGCTTGGGCAGCACAGCTGCAAAGAACGAGTGAATTATATGTCAATATTTGCTTTTTATAATAGAGAAACTGCAGATCATGATGCTGCTACCGCTGTGTTCCATTGGGGGCAGTGTTCTTTCATCAATGTTGGGTGTTTTCATCAAATTTACTTATGTAAGAAAGTTTTTTCACCCAAATTTTAGTTTATCATGCTAAAACTAATTGTAAAAGATTTTTTTAATCCCGCTTTAGACTCATAATGACTCATCCAGAGACGTGTAGAATATAACCATCAATTGGCAGAAATTCTGGCAGCTTCTTCAGTGTTGGTGTCAACCTCTTGGCAGTTTGTTTTGCTTTCCTTGCGTTTATAGAAAACTCCAGTTTCTACATTATACACCAGAACTGAGGAGGAGGAAACAATGAGTTTCCTAAACCAGAAATCCAGTTATCCATAAAGGCCAAACCAAGCGGGATTGGAGAGAAATTGGTGCATCAGGAATAAGTTGGACTTTGTGCCAAGAGACTCAGCTCCTTCTTTGGCTGTACAAGAAACTCATTATCTTCCAAATCCTCAAATGTTCCAACAGTTTGGGTTCCCACAAAATAAGGAGTTCTGGATATTGTGGTCATACTCATCCTCCCCAATGACAGCTTCTCTGAAAAAAACTCTCGTCAAGCTAACATGATTTACGTCTGCTGAAGATTTCAACAAAAAGTTGGGCCTTGGGCAGGAGCCCTCACAGCTGGCACAAATAAATATTAAACCTTTACACTCCAACACAGGCTTTATAGAAAGGTACTGATGTGGGATCCAAACACATGGGCTATATTATACGCTTTCCTGACCTTCATTTAATTTTGTGTTTGTTACTTTACCTTCATATGGTGTAAAAACCATAAACCTGCCCTGAAACTAAATGAAAAGCTCTACAGGACTTTGGCACAATAGCTGTTTACTCTCAGTTAAATGTGGACTACAACACAGATACAGCCATTTGAAACACTCAAGGGTTCAGAAAGGTTTAAATTCAGCATTAATCTGTTCCTTCTTCTTTTAATGAGACTAAACATGGTCTGTATCTATTCTATGAAGAAGGATATTCCAAATTTCCCCTCAGTTGATCTAGGATATGACACTGATCATCCAGAAGTTCCTATATAATTATAGAAGTTCAGATAGTCCCAGTATCCATAAGATGGAGGAAAGGATTCGGATATAGCGCCAATTTACTTTACAAGGCATTTTACAGATGTAATACAGTCAGATTGGTTAAAAGTTTCTGTCTTGAAAAAACAAGTGATTGCATCCAGCCATTGACTTGCAAGACATGCTTCTCCGCAATAATCTTGTGGCTGTGATTTTTGCTTGCATTTTGTCGTTGATTTGTCAGCAATCTCTCATATCAAGCATGCATGCTTGATATGAGAGACTTTGAGGGGTTTTGCATACATTTTAAATTTGCAAAAGAAATCAAAGATTCTGGGTTGGTCTATTACATGACATTCAAATACACTGAAATTTGTAATTGTATTATTTATTGTTGAGACAGGATGTTTTCAACAATACCAAAAGTTTTCCAAGATTTGGTCAGTGGTCAAGCTCACACCCCAATGGTAATGTGAGTGCCATATTTTTCAGTAAGAGCAGCTTGAGCATCATTGTATATAAACTCTACCTTGTGAACTGAAATGTTTAAAGAGTCCTTTCATTATGATCGAGGTTAATTTAAGGAATGGCCCCATCTGTAAGCTTTAAAAGTGTCCACATATGAGCTTTGTTCAGAGCCTTTGGTCTTAGTCATCACATTGCTTAGCCCTGACTTCCCAATGTTGGTCTTCTGACACCACAGCATGTTAAGTAAATGAGCCAGAGTGCTTGAGGCAGTTGGAGGATAGTGGAGGAGGAGATCTGCCTTTAATGAGATGTCCAGCAGCTGTATTTTCTTCGAAACTTTTTCTCAAGAGGTGTCCTCAAACTTGAGTGCGTCCTTGTGCGGACATACCTGTGCCTATGTTTATGCTCAGCTTCAGCCAAACATCTGTTTTCTCTGGTTCCAGAAAAGCTTGTACAAAGCCACATGACAGAGGCGAGCTGTTGCGCCCAAAGCATTAACCCCTCACCTTAAAGCTCCCTATCTGCATAACAAACACTCCCACTGATTGGTTCGACCTCTTTATAACAGTTTTAAAAGCAGCATGAACTCTAAAGCCAGTCACTTGAAAAGCGGAAGTGTACGCAGCATGCCGGTTTCCTGCAATTCTGCCAACTCAATCTCCTAGTGACAAATTATGAAAACGATGTTAAAGAGTCACAGAGACACAGTGTGTCTGTATGTGTGAGTGCAGAGAGTTAAATGTGAACAGGTGGGAGGAAATAGCCTTGAGCACACAGTTTTGTGTGTATGGGTGTGTGTCTACTACAAGGTCATTGAGTTGCACAGACTGGGCCTGGTACTTTGACTGAAACCAGCGTCTGTTCCAGCTTGTCACATGTTTGGATACAAAAAGACAATCTTGTACCCCGATCCACATAGACACACATAGGACAACCTGTACCACTTCCCTCCCCTGTGGCTATGTGCCTTCTCTTCTGTCAGATAGTTGAGGCCAGCTCCAATCAAAGCTCTGCTTACTATCAGAACAGCCAATAAACATTGCAACAGAACTAAAGTGGGCTGCGTGATCCCACACCCGGGTAGCGTAACACCTTGTGTCTGAGTGTTGTAGTAGGTGTCAGTGACAGACAGGCAGCGTGTGAATACTTCAGGCTAGATAGGCTGTGAGTAATGTAGGATTATTAGAATCCGACAGCAAAATTTTTTTTGTGCCTAAAACACATATATAGCATCATTCTGCAAGCTGCTATGACTGATAATATTCTGCATTAATTTGACATAGCAGGGTTGGAGTAAGACTTTGAGGTAATCTAGGTCCCATTTTCAACCCAAAAATAAATCTAACCATTCATCCAGTTTCTGCTTTATCAGGGAGCTGGTGCCTGTCTCCAGAAGTGGGCTTCACCCTGCACAGTTCAGCAGTAGGCATTGGTTCGTCGACAGTATTACGGCATATATAGCTTCTCCATTGCTATAGTCTTAGAAAATATACACTATGTAGGGTTCTAATTTAACACTAATTCTGAGTGGGACCAAATGCACTCTTAAAGTGTTACTTTAACACTGCAAAATTTACACTGTAACAAAATGCCCCATTAGTGACAACTGATGCAACTAAAAAATACATACCATATCACAACATGACATAAATTTAGCATGTTTAAATTGACTTTTTGACGAAATAGCTGCTCAAAATGTTCATTTTGAACATTTTTGCAGTAGTTTATAATTAGCAGGTAAAAATTTGTCACTGAAGTGACATTAAATTAAATTATTAGGCCTTTACACAATTTTTTTCCTCTTACCAATAATTACTTTATGTAAGAGCATATAGAATGGAATATATCAGAATGATCTTTTGTCTTATTAGAGGTCGTCATGTTATCTGTAAAGTCTGATGAGGTTGTTATATGATTCGAATTGGCAAAAAACAATAAGGCTCCTTATTACCTTAATTTTTCTTTCACCTTAGAAAAAAAATGGTGATAATGTAAGAACAGTACAGGAGAACAGGAATCAAAGCCAGCTGTGTTTACTTATTGCATTTTAAATTATATAGTAAAAAAAATTGCTTTTTAATTAGATTTTTTTTAAGCCAGTTACAATATAACAGCGTAATGTGATTTTTACCTTTCTGAAAAATGCATTCTGCTTTAAGTTTGCTTTAGATGCATAGTTTACAGTAAGGAAATCAGTTGAGATGTAGTTGACTTTGGATAAATTTGTATTTATTGTGTTCTGTAGCAGCCTAAAGAACAAATAACAACTCGACATAGAATTAGTTTACCGCTGCCCCCTCAACACCTGCAGGGTTGTTGATTCTTCAATGTTCTGAGTTTAACTAAGATTTATTGGGTCTCATTTTTGTAGCTGTAGCCAATACTGCTTTAGCAAGAAAGCAGTATTTTGCACTTGAAGGATAAAAGAAACTAAGTGTTAGATGGATTTTAAGGGTAAGATTTTAATGGCTATGAAGCAAAGCTGTGGTTCCTTTAACTCATCAAAATACTGTTTGTTTGAAATAAGTTAAATCCACAATATATTTCCTGTATATTTCATTCCTGGCAAGTTAGAATTAACATTGTTGATTTTTTTTTTCCTGATGGAAATGTAATCTTCATCTGTTAAATGATCGCTCTTTTTTTTCTTCTTCTTCTTACAGTAAACCATGGCAAATTCCCCAAGCAGGAGGACTCATATGCATTTGAGGAGGACAGCAGCAGTGAAAGTCTGTCTCCGGAGCAGCCCCACAGTGACGAGTCCCAGGGCTCAGCCTGCCCTTCGTCTGATGCTGTTGGCAGCACGGCCTCTTCTTCCTCTTCACCTTCCCTCACCAGCCAACGACAGGTAGAAGCCAATGCTTCAGCCAGCTTTTCAGCTCCTCTGTTCATCTCATGCTGGTACCCATTTTAGACATTCCTCTGCTGCCCTCATGTGGAAAAACAATTAGATCCACTATCCTAGGTGTTGAACTATGGAGGAAGTTTAACTCTGCAAGAGTCACATTCCTGAACACTGTCTCTATATTGTAACTGCCTTCGTTTTACCAAGATGATGTTGACCATATCAGCTTCAGCAAAGGTCTGAGGAACTACATTTCGATCAGTTAAAAGCTCTCAAATATTTAAACTCCACTACAGCCTGTTTTTTTTTTTTTTTTTTTTTTGGGGGGGGGGGGGGGGGGGGGGGGGGGGGCACAGATAAAGAGAAAAAAAAAATTATACATATTAAAAAGAGTGAGGATTTTAATTGCTCTCCTACCTTTATAAAGCATATTCTTCAAGAGATATGAATACTTTCATAGCAGATGTGGAGAACATTTAAAATTTTTTTCCAAAATCCAACAGTAAGTGTTTGTCGAGTAAAAGAAAGAATGTACAATAACATTTTTAAGTACTCATTTTATTGCTCTGGGCTATCTACTTAATCGTATATTTTTCATCTGCAGCTACACCCTTGATTTGAAATTTAAAACTTGTTGTAAATGGCAATAATACACATTTTGCACTGCTTAATCTTAAGAAGGTTTCAAGTAGCACTTCCAAATGCAATAACTGTTAACCTAAAATTGGCTTTTCAGAAGCTGATCAAAAGTTAAAGAACATATCTTGAAAAATAATCCCTTGATAAGAAACATATTTCTTAATAATGGACTCAGTAAGGAGTAACTGGACCATTCTTGTTAATCCCCTAATAAAAATTGCTTGCTGATGTTTTCTTAAGACTAGAGGGAATGTTGCTCCAAATGGTGAAGATGACTTCATCCACTGTCTGGAACTGGTGACCCCAAATATTCTCAGTTTTATTTAGAGCCCCAAATTATTTAGACTCCAGTAGTTTCTAAATCATCAAGTTTCCTTCGACTATAGGTAATATTGAGGGTTTAGAAGTGACAAAGCCAGAGTCCAGACTTGAATCTGAGAGAAAACTCACAGAGGGAGCATAAAGATTGAGGTGATGGTACGGAGGCTTTCCTTTAATGGGTAAACCCTGAGCAGTATAATGCTTCTGGTCTGGGGATAGGACTTTCAGTGCGATTGAGGGGAAGGGTTATGTGTTGCGCAATTATCGTTGGTGGAACCTATGTTGCATTGAAGTTGTAAAGTTGATAGGTCAGACAGAAGCAACAATACCGGAAGAAAAATACAAGTGGTGGCCAAGTGGTTAGGGCATAGAGCTTGGCTTCCTGAGGTTGTTAATTCAAAACCCACTCCCTGGGCACTGAAAAATGGCAGCCCACTGCTCCCAAAGGGGATAGGTTAAATGCGGAGATTGAATTTTGTAGCTCTGTGACAGTGAAATAACAATAAAAACTCTGGGGGGAAAAATTAATTTTAATTATTTGCACTTTCTGTGACACAAAATAAATGTTCCTGATGACTTTAAGAAAGAATGCAGCTGTGTAAAACTCAAATATCTGCTTGGTATTGCAAGATATCGCTTAATTCCCAAATGGCCCTTATGTTTTCAAAGATGTCTATTATTGTCGCTGTTGCAGCCAGCTTGCCTCGCCAGCTGCCAGCTCACCATGATGTAAAGGCTGTCTATACCCAAAAAAGGAAAGTCTAAATCCTGATTTATCCTATTTAAACTACCAATGACTTTCACTGATGTGTGGAAGTAATACACAGATGTAATCCAGTCCGATGGCATCTAACAGTTCATGTTGTGTTTACGTTAGTGTTTCATTTGTCAATGAGCCAATCACTTTGACTGATATTAAAGGTTAGCTGCAAAATTGGACAATTTCCTTTAAGATCAATGTCATAGTGTAGAGCAGGAGGGTAAATGTAGTTTTAAATAAACTGAGAAAAAAAATGGTGCTTGCCAGAGACTGTTTCCAAACTGAACAGTATTGCTGTGAGTTTTGTTGTTTTGGCTGCTTAATGGTTTTAATAAATATATATTTTTTTTCTTTAATCTACACAGGGTAGAGCAACGAGAGACCCTACAGACCAAACCCAGGAGGAAGGGCTGTCTGCTCCTAACACCAATAAGACAGCCAATCCAATACCTGGTCCTTTAATAGTCAAGGTTAGCCTGTCTCAAAACATTTTTTAATATTTCCTTTTCACGTATCAACAGACTAATTTATCCTTCCTATGTATTAACAGTCCAAGACGTCAGACAAGAACCGACACAAGAAGCCCAAAGATGTGAAACCAAAAGTAAAGAAGCTCAAGTATCACCAGTACATTCCTCCAGACCAAAAGGTGGAGAAGTCCCCTCCACCCATGGACTCAGCCTATGCCAGACTCCTGCAACAGCAGCAGCTCTTTCTGCAGCTTCAGATCCTAAGCCAGCAGAAACATACTCACACACAGTCACAGATGCAGCAGCCACAACAGCAGCACACACACTCCATGCAGGCTCATGCCCAGCAGAGGCAGTCTACCTTCAGCTACCAGCCTCAGCTGCCAGCCAATGCCCAAAAGTAAGTCACCCTAAAAGAGTCTCTAAACAGTCACACCAAGATCATTAGTTACATAAAAATGTACCGCCAACCAAAAAGTCTAGTCATATTGGCATAGCCATTTCTCTACACCATGTTGTCTACGGTAACTATATTGAATGTAAAGGTCAACTTAACCCCTTAAACCAGCCTAAACCCAGGCTAACTGCACTGATAGTTTAAGGGAATGCATGGCATTATGTGCTTTGATAAGAAATACTAAAAAACTGCTGTTAAAAATAAACAGACACATTACTGGGCACTTTTTTAGTAAAGAATTTTCCTCTGGCTTGAAAATGGTTAGGTAGGATGACTGGATGGAAACTAGCAACAGAGGTTTAGCTATTTTGTTGCAAAAAAGATAGCTTTATGTTTTTCACAGAGACTAATCTATGTTGATGTTATTTCAGGGGAAACAGCAAGCAATTACCAGCTTGCACTTCCAATGGCACATCCAGCAACTCTAACAGCAACTCCTCTTCTCCAGTCAAGAACACATTTTCCAACCAAAACAATGTCCCGTCTGTGAAAGTTGGTCCACTACCTACTAATCTGGATGACCTTAAAGTAGGTTTTATCAGAAATGAAATCCAGTGGTATCCAGCGAATTTATTAGTATTTTACTTGCTTTTATATTTTGTTCTTCAGGTGTCTGAACTTAGGCAGCACTTACGCATTCGCGGCATGCCTGTTTCAGGGACCAAAATGGCCCTCATCGAGAGACTGCGGCCCTTTAAGGACTCCAATGCTGATTCTTCGCCATCAGGATCTTCTGATATCACCACGCTGACCTTTCCTGTTACACCCACAGGCTCCCTATCTTCCTACCAATCCCCATCCTCTTCCAGCAATTTATCACAAGGAGGATACTACCCCTTTCCCAGCACCTCCTCCACTCCTCCCATCTCCCCGGCTTCCTCAGATCTGTCTCTCTGTGGCTCCCTCCCAGACAGCTTCAGCGATGTTCCAATGTCCACTTCGAATCAGTTTAACCTGCAGCCTTCCCCGACCCAGATTGGCATAGAGGATGGCCTTGGAGCAGGAGGAATTGCTGGGGTCTGTGGGGGAAACCAAGCAGTGGGGGAAGGTGAAGCCAGTGATGGTCTGGAAGCAGAAAAAGATAAGATGCTGGTGGAAAAGCAGAGGGTTATTGAAGAGCTGACGTGGAAATTGCACCAGGAGCAGAGACAGGTGAGAAACAACCGTACTACTGTGTTCTACCAATGCAAACTATAAACAATAGTGACAGCATCTTAATGTATGGATATATGCCAAGTTTTTCGTACTTTGACCAATTGATCCCTGACTGTGATTGCTAGGTGGAAGAACTTAAGATGCAACTTCACAAGAGAAAACGCTGCTATGGAGCAAGTGAGGACATCGTACCTAATCAGTCCCACCCCCCAGTGCTCCACCAGCAGCAGCATTCTATGATGGGTCAGCATTTTATGGGAGTGACAATCAAGCAAGAGCCTACATCTTTGTCCACTAGCTGCCCGCTATCCTCCTCAAAGCAGCTCAAGAGTCCTCCTGGCAGCTGCATGGAGGATATAGGATGCTGCAACAACACCGTACCAAATGTGGGTGGACCTGTTGGAACGCAATGCATGGACACAGACCCTTCCTCTACCAACCCATCTACCATGTCAGCATTTCTAAGTCCTGAGTGTTCCCCGCAAGATTCTCCCACAAGGAAACCCACCAGCAATTCCCAGCCTTCATCGCCTAATAGCCCCTGCCTGCTGTCTCCTCTGCTGGGAAGAGATAGCTGTGGACACAAACAAGGGCAAAGCAGAGGTCACAATATGCAGGTATAAAGCAGATCAACTCATTTCAGAAGTATATGCACTTAATTCAAGGGTCAAAAATGCAACTGTTTTTAAGTAATGGTAAGTTTTGTGTTTATGAGTTAAATGCTGGGACCTATAGAAAATTAACAGACAAAGGAAAGAACAAACATCCATCAACATATTCAATAAACAAACCAATTTGCTATGTTGATATGATCAAATCTCTACATCAAATTGACAAATGAGAGCATTAATTCCAGTTGCAAACAGCTTGCTAACAGTAATTTGAAAAGCTGCAGAGGTTCTCAGTTCAGGACGGAGAATCTAGTTATTCAGTAGGCGTGTACTCAACATTCTTAGATTTAAAAAACCCATCAGTGTCAAGGCTCAGAACAGAGGACATAGTAGTCAAAGCAGACAGACAGACTTCTCAAAAAGGCGTTAATTAAAAAACGGTGGATCTGCAGTGACTACAAGGACATCTAAGTCAGGAAACCCTGCAAGGGGAAAACTCTGGTTAGTGACTACATAAATCTGATGGACTGCAGAACAGGCGGGAGATCATATCCAAGCAGACGAAGAAAGGCAGGACTATCCAGAAGGCCAAACCAAAGCCGGTGTCAAAGGGGTTCACAGGAGTTTGAGCCAGAAGATCAGAGATCTGAAGAGGTACTGAAGAGAAATCGAGGGCAGTGTCAGGAAGTAGTTCCAGGTTCGATCATCAGGCAGAATCCAGTGGAGTCCGAAGACAGATCTGGCAAAACAGATCAAAACTGGAACAGGCAAGCTCAGAAGTCCAGAGGCAGAATGGGTCAGGATCAGGCAATCAGAACTTAATCAGGTAAACTAGAGAACTCACACCAAAGGCTTGAATAATCTGGCACAGATGACTGGGAGCAGGCACTTTAAATGGAAACAGGTGACACAGATGAACCGTGATGAGAAACTGGGCAAGGCTAGATAGGTGAACTGCATGAGCAATCAAGCCAGTCATCAGTGCCAAGATCATGACAATCTGCAGTCCTTTTTGTAGCTTACAAAACCTTTTTAGTAAAGGCAAAACCAAAACTGTTTTTTGGCCTTGATTCAAAATGCTGTGTGTGGCACAAATCCTGCTGTGCAGATGCTTGAGCTGATGGGCAGATGGATGGAGCTAAAGGCAGGACAATCCAAGAAAATAATATGTTAGAAACTGCCAAAGATTTGTGATTCATCTGACCCACCAGCAGAATAAATGCTGTACACATGTAATTAGAGCTAATGGATTGGGTTCAATCAAAGCACATTCATGTATCAAAATGGTCACTTCAAAGTCCAGTCTGCATTGGGATGTAAAGACGTTCTGCATCCAATGGCGTAACGACACAACAATAGGCCCGTAGGCAACATTATCTGATCTGGGTAGGCCCCACATGAAGTACAACAAACCATCCCCCCTATCCCTCCCAGCCAACACATCCCCAATTTCTCAAAGCTCATCCAAAATTCAGGGGTTTTGTTGAAACCTGACAGAATTTAAACAGGGTGAAGTGGTGTGAATTTTTTTTTTATGGTTGCCTGTATGTGACCCTCTTTTATGCGTCCCGAATCTTTGTTGATGATCTGACTGATTGGTGTTACATCCTGCCTCTTGCAGGTGCAGCAGAGGAGTGGCCAGCAGTTAAACTGCCCTTATCCTTCGGACCAAAGAGGCCTTCAGGCTGTATTTCCAAACTCATCTGACTGCGGCCTTAACCACAGTGGCCCTGTTAAGGCTGAGAGCCAGAATATGCAACCAAAGGTAAATGTCCTGTAAAGGTCCAGAATGTTTGTCCTTGTGGTGACATTAGTCAGGTAGTGTTCCCTAACAGTCACCTCCTATCCATACTTTTTCCTCTTCTTCCTTGTTCATTTCTGACCCGTTTCTTGAATCGCTCCCTTTGGTTCTATGTTATCACACTTTTTTACCCGGCTAAACTTATTTGAAACACCAATCTATCTTGACATAACAAATGTGACGAGGTCACTCAAACTTGAAGCCCTAATATCTGGTATTTCTTCTGCATCTCTAATTTCGTAAGCTCCCCTACAATTTGATAATGACACTTTTCACTTATTTCTCATATAGATGTCAGCATTGCCATCTTCCCGGCATGTTGGCCAAAAGTGCCAGGTCTCTCCCCCAGCCTTCAGTAGCTCAGATTCAGATGCATCTGACTTAAGACAGCCCCCATGCTATGAGGATGCAGTCAAGCAGGTAAACTCAATTCCATGCTAAAATTTAGTGGAGTTTGCTGGCCAGGGGTTTAAGTTGAACTTGTGCAGTTCTAATTCAATATCCTTTTCTCTCCTTTTGTTTTGTGCCTCACACATACATCACTTGTGTCTCACCTGTTGGTCACAATCATTGCTTGTATCACTGCATGAGCTCTAAAACCTTCTGCAAAGTCTGAAACAGACTTACTGATATTTGAGTTAGGTCTAAGTAGAAAAAATGCATGTTTTTATTGCTAAGATTACCAACATTTTTGTGAAAAATTTAAGATGTACTATACATGATAGGGTGGGAACTATCGTATTTTCCGGACTATAAGCCGCTACTATTTTTCCCGCTTTGAACCATGTGGCTTATAAGAAGGTGCAGCTTTTCTGGGGATTTGTTGTAATCCCCAGAGAAGGACGTCAAAGTTGAAAATAAAAGTGCTTATTTTCATTTGCCAGCATGCTAGCAGCAGGCACGATGGAGGGGATATATGTAGAGCTCCCCCTACAGGTTTGGTGGGGACAGTTCAGTAGATATCAGCGGCTTGTGACCCAGTGCAGCTTATATATGTATGTTTCCGTTTTGTTTGTTTTTTTGTTTTTACTTACTGGGGGCAGCTTATAGAGAGGTGCGCTCTATAGCCCAGAAAATGCGGTACATAAAAAAGACTTAAAACCTCCCTAAAATGACATTTATGCTTTACGGACATACATTTCAAACGAAAAATGGACGCGCACTTGATGTCTGCAAGTTTTATACTTCGTGGGGCTTTTCCACTTGTACGTAACATTCTCGGCAGCTTAAGACGGGCATGTCGAGTACAAACCAGAGATATTTTAGAGATATTTATGGGTTAAATCACAAGCTGTCTCTAGATTTTTATATGTGGGAAAACTCGTCGGCAAGAGCTGTCACTCGTCCTTCATGGTTTTCCAAGTGATAACCAAGCAGCTAGAAATTTTCTTTGGTGCATGGTGTGGAAATTTGGTTCGAGCCAGAGCCAAAATGAGATAAATCGGCCGCATAAACCTCGCAGACGCGTTAATCAGCGCCTCTTTGTGCACAGTGTTAGTCCCTGGGCCAAGATTCTACAGAAAACCTATATTTCCGCGTGTATCCTACGCATGTTTTTTTAGGGGTATTTAAATATGTGGAAATGTATGATCTCTTTAAAATAACATTCAATAAATTCATATCAGATTAGATTTTAGATGAACTGAAAGCATTAAATTTGCTGAACAATAAAGGCAGTTCCAGACATTCAACATGGTGGAAAATGGGCCACCAGCCATTTTCGTCACAAAATGGCATTATGTAATGCCAGTATCTACAGAGGAAATTTCAGAACCTGGTTCTTGGTTTTCTAGAATTTGCCTCATACTAATTACAAATTACAAATTAGAACTATAGTCATGCTCTGTCTCTGCAGGTTTAAGAGCTGTACAGAGAATCAATGATTGTTTAAACAATTGATTGATAAGGAATATGTCTCTATTGCACTTACAGCAACTGACCCGCAGTCAGCAGATGGATGAACTGTTGGATGTGCTCATAGAAAGTGGAGGTAAGCAAAATGTCCGTTTGATTTATTGGTTCTTAGAAATTAAGGTCACTCTCCATATCGCACCTTAGAGTAAAAATTGGGAGTACGTTTGATGTAAAACATCAGCTAACAAAAGGTAACAATTCGAGTTTCATTTGAAATGTTGGCATCCACTTCCTCAGAATGCTAAGACATTCATTCCTCTCCTTTCTCCTTAAGAGATGCCAGCTAACGCAAGAGAAGAAAGGGAGAGCTCCTCTGTAACACAAGTTGTGCCTCCCATTACTGTGTCCCCAGGGTGTCCTGGCCTCCTCATCCCAAGGTTCCACTGGCATTACGAGCACCTGCCCCCCAACCACCCCCCGTACGACCATGCAGCCAGTCACACCAACGAGAGCCACCTCCAGACTTTGCTGGGCAGTCCCATGGGACGGGGAGGGGAGATGGCACTTCTTAAGATGGCTGGCGAAGATGGACAACAGGAAGACGAAGGGAACAGAGATGCCGAAGAGTATGGCAGCCTCCACAGCCGCCACTGCCGACCTCAGCATTCCCAACAGGACAAACTTCCGAACAACAGAGATCGGATAGACATGCCTCTGTCACCTGTTAGCAACAAGGTGTTCACTGCTCCTGAGGTTCAGGGGATGGTCAGCATGGCCTTCAGTGAGACGCCATGGGAAACGATGGAGTGGCTGGACCTGACGCCTCCTAGCTCCGCTAATGCCTTCAGCGCTACTCAACCCAGTGCACCCAGCATCTTCAACACAGAGTTCCTAGATGTGACAGACATAAACTTGAACTCTGCCATGGACCTCCAACTGGAGCACTGGTGAAAGCAATAATGCCAACAGCAATACCAAAGAACTATTCAGTTCCACCATGACTGCTTTAAGTCCAAGTGTGAGAAGTTATCATACAGTGGAAGATTATTTTATGTAGTTATTCATAGTTTACTATGCAGACAAATTTTAATTGTGAATCTAAGCTTTACTGAACTTAATTTCCACCAGTGTTGTTGTAACCAAAAAAACAGGTGCTTTTTGACATGATCTATGTCCATTTTGGACATTGATGCGCACAACTGTCATTGAGCTGGAGACTGACAGTGGACACACGCAGGACTTTCTGTATGTACCACGTACCATGTGTTACACCACCGAGACTTGAAGACGGAATGTGCCAATCACTGCATACCTACATAGCATATGTTTGTGTTACTGGAAAAAGAAAATATCTAAAACAGAACAGAGTATAAACAGATCTGGATTGCTAACGTGCGGCCAAATTGTAAATATCAGAACCTGTTAAGAAAATCTCACATCTGCAATGTCTTTTTAAAGGTGTGAGACAGAGTCCATCCCAAAAATTTACTGTTTAATGTAACCATATGATGTAAATATGACACGAAAAACTCACAGAGCACCTCTTGCTTAATACACATTTGTCACAGTTTGCTTGAGTTTTCATTATTATAGGAACGATTGTTGTTTTGTTTTTATACAACTATTTACAGTATCTGACAGATTTATGTACATGAAGACATAAAGACTAAGCAATGTCTGATAAATCTTTGGTCTTACACATTTAAACCAGCAGACCAACTGTGCCTTATTTGAAAAAGATTATTTATATATATATATATATATATATATATATATATATATATATATATATATATATATATATATATATATATATATATATATATATATATATATATTCACAAGACATTTTCGAATTTTCATAAACATTATGTACAAAAAAAAGATTATTATATCTAATTTTCCCCTCTTTAAATTGCAACATCTCTATTTCAAACCAATCACAGTTATTTATTTTGTGATTTTGTATTTATACTTGGTGTTGTATTTATGATGACATTCCTTTGTTATTTCTTTGATGTAACCAGAAATAAGATTTTTTGTTTTGTTTTAGACCACTGATGTTTTTAGGCTAAACAGAAAGCTTAAAAATGTGAGGCAAAATGAAGGAGCCGATTGAAAAACACCGTGTTATCTCAAACAACAGTTACCGGTTGTGTGAACAGTCCATTATAAGCACTTGTGAATAAGAAAAATGTAATATATTCAAATCTTAACTGTGAATACTTTATATAAAGGCAGAGAGACTTCCCCTAAAGCCAGCATTCACAATGCTCAGTTCAATATGGCTCAGTTCAGTAATCCTTTTTTCCAAGTCAGTTGTTTGAATTTCTATAGTATCTTACTTTTATAGTATCTCCCGTTTGTCTGACATTAAATCAGGCTGTTTATAACTTTCTTCAAAGTCTGAAGTTTATTATATTTCTTTATTGGATTCAATATTTTTGGGATCTGTCCCATTCTTCCTGCCAGAACTGTACGCTCCCTTGTTCAAATAGCTTTTCCTCTTTGAGGACAGTTTTGGACCCTTATAGCCCCTTATGGAGGACCAGTAGAGACACTGGTGTTATTTCATCATGATGGTACCAATTTAGGCTAGTGCATTAGTCCTGGCTACAGCAAAACACCTGTACAACATGACATTACTACTTGTTAGATTCAATATTCTTCCTCTAAATGTAAAAATGGTAATTGTGGAAAAAACACTTTGTTTCATCCAAGCACATCTCCAGGAATTAAAGTCTTCCTTTGTGCTTTTCAATACAGGGATTTCTTTTATGTCCTTATTGACGGTTGCCTCAGATGATCTTTTGTCTTATTTCTAAAACATTACACTGATTTTTAAAGGACCTACATATACCATTACTATGGTGTTTGTACGTGTATGTACATTGTAAAATATAGGTTCGGCAACTTCATACATCTGGAAGTGGTACCCAAGAATGAACCCGACTTGTGGAGGTCCATGATTTGCTTCCAAACCTCTGATAAAGTCCTTTGATTTTTTTTTTCATGACTATAATATCTGGTCTTATTTAAAGGCAAACCTCTGAATTTGATTAAAATTGTAACCATGATTTTAGAAAATGCTTCTCAGCATTCAGGCATTTGGTAAATATAAACAATTATGGTATCTCTAACTTACATAAAACAATAAAGGTTTATTCTGATATGTTCTTAGGACTTGGAGAGAATAGAAAGATTGTCTCTTTTTACAGAATATATGCAAATATCTTGTTTAAACTTTATATCCCATCCCAATGAAGACCTCTAGAGAGCACAACAAAGACCTGTAAGCCAGGGGGAGGACTTAGCAACTGGGCTTATTAAGTTTTAGAGAGCATCCGGGCGGCAGCATTCTGGATCAACTGCAGCTGTCTGAGTGACTTTTTAGACCGACCTGTGATTGCATCACTGCTGTGATAATTTCTACTAAGGATACATGCATAAATTAGTTATTTCAAGGTTCTTCTGAGACTTTAGTCCTTTAATCCTAGAGAAGTTCTTTAGGTGACAGAAGGCTGACTTTTTTCTGTCTTTTTGAGCCTCTTAAGGTTCCGGTCTGAGTCATCACTACATCCAGATTTACAGCCTAAATGGTGTTGTTCTTGTTGTATTACCTGAAGCTATGTGCTAACCTTTAAACACTCTTCCATTTCCCCAGAAACTCAGTTTTAACTTCAGTTTTATTTTGATTGAGCTGAAAACTTCTTTGCCCATCCATGCATTGATTTCTTCCATACATTTACCCTGTGCTGGAATTGGTTCATAGTCGCCTGGTGACATTGTAATGTACAGCTGTGTCTTCTGTATAGTTATGTTGCGGCTTTATTAAAATCTGAGTTAGGGGAAACATGTAGATACTGGAAAGTAGGGGCCCCAACATGGAGCCTGAAGAAGCTCACATTATTTTTTTCTGGTATCTGATGTAAAGTTAAAGGCCCTTTTCTTCAAGTAAGATTTAAACCAGTCAGGTCCTGTAGCAGAAAGGTAAACCCAGTTCTCCAGGTTCTGTATTAAAAAGGAGTGATCGACAGTGTTGAATGATGCACTAAGGTCCAGTGGAAGACATCAAAGCGGATGGTTATTGTTGGGATGGTGTTACTGTTGAAACACTGGGAGGTTTGAGATAGGCCTATAGTTCTGCAGTACCAGCTTGTCCACGATGCTCTTTTTTTAACACGCTCTTTATTATTGGAGTTAAATCTAACATAACAGGAAGGCTGTAAGTAAACCAGTAAGAAGAACTATTTTTGTATAATGTTTTTTCTAAAATAGTTATTTGGTGAAACTGAAATTTCGTCAAAATCAGTTCTAGGCAGAAACATCTTTTGTACCCTAGTCACATACAATGCTAAACAAAAAAACAAACATCCTTTTCAAGCAAGGCTCCATAAGCCTAGTATGGTCTTAATAGTGTACACTGGGTCTCGTTTGAAAATAAAAGGACTCCTGCATCAGCAGCAATTGCTGTAGGCAATCGCCATTTGCTTGCAGCGCTTATTGACGAATCCATCACATACATTTTTTTATCTTTACACGAGTGCAACTAGTGCCTTATCCCTGTGGGCACCCAAAACATTTTTGCTTTTCACACCTATACTGAGGTGTTGCTGGCTTGGCTCCATTGCTTCCTTTTTTACTGATTCACCTCATATTTCCAGTGACATCGTTTTGTAAAGTAAATAAACAAAATTCTTAAGTGTAGTTAAAAAATGGAGCAAAAGCAAGGAGTAAAAAGTGTAATTTAGACAAACAGGGCACTTTTATCTTATGAATAAGCCATTGAATGCAACCAGATTGAGCCAGCCGTGCAGAAATTCCTGGTCATAGGATGTGATTAAGGCTTTTATAGAGTCTGACTCTATATTAAATTTCAACTTTGGAAAAAATTTGTTAACGAGCTTGATTTTGGGGTGTTTTAGTGAAAACAGTCTCCCTTTTTTATCAGCAGCATCCTCCTACCCTAAAGTGAAGTCATTGCTGCGTCTTTTATTGATATGATTCAGGATGAAAATGAGCCAAGAGTTCTTATCTGAATCTTGTTGAATGGATGAAGAAACATGTTGGAATTATCTCCACTATAGAAACAAAAGATTGGATCACGATGCCACCAACTGGTTTTGTAGCTGATCATTTAGATGGCGCATCTGGAAATCTGATTATTTGTCCTCCACGTAAAAAAGAAAGAAAAAAAAAGCTGGAAAATCCTATAAGTTTAATATTATTTTATAGAAGGAACCCAAGATCATATCCAATATTGCTGCTTTGGACAAAAAAAGTAAACAGTTTCAGTATCTGATAGTTTGTCTTTCAGATGGTTTAAATTTCAGTAACTCAGTCCTTAATCTACTTATGAACATTATTGCCTGAATGCATGACATTCTGAGCAACATGACAGATATTATTGGCAACCTAATCATCAAACACAAGAAGAAAATCTTTGATATTTTTCCACTTGCAGATGGAAAGCTGTTAAATTGGGTGTGATATCACTCTGAGATCCAAACTACGAAGTGAAAAATATTTGAATTCTCATGCCAGATATTGACTGTCACTGTCACCAATACTTAACACATGTACAAAGCAGGTAGGAAACATTCACTTATCTGTTTCTCTAATAGTGCACCTTCTATCTAATCCATAAACAAAGGTTTGACTTACCATCTTATGCTTTATTCTGTTAACTGAACCATTTTTTATTGGTTACTTGGTGTGAATCCATCATATCAAAACGCATTTCACTTTGTCTTGTGTTTAAATATGCCTGTCCTTAATTACAATAACTGAAAATGTCTGACAGGAGCTTCCATGTTGCTTGGCCACCAAATTGCCTTTTACTTAAAAAAAAAAAGAAGTTATTCTGGATGAATTTTGTGTCTACAGATTAAATATGAACAATAAAATTAGTGATTTGAGTTGTCTTTATTCATGCTCCCAAGCACCACACCACGCATTTTCAGTCTTTTCTATGGAAACTTTTATTGTAACCCTTGATAAACATACATTATAATATTCATTGCCCTTGATATGATCTTATATTCTAATATGATCTCTAGTAGATAGCAATTTATACAACATGTACCCTGGAGATTCATATTCACCAAACACCGCATAAAGCAGATGTGGTCTGCATAGACAGCACCATCTGCTGGCTCACTGTTAGGCTTGCACCATTAGTTTAATTTCAGATGGAGAGGAAAAGCATAGGGATGATGGAAACTCCTTTGAAACAGAACTCTGGTTGATGGCTGTGATGTTTTACTCATCCGAACAAGCCAAAAAGTTGACCTTTCACTTTTGCTAAGAACAAAAGGACCCAATGTAGATCCACATGACACAGCAAACGGCTGTAGAGACCCATAAACCAAACGTCCTTTCATAGTCAGTGCAACATTAAATAAGATGGACTGAAAAGATCAAAATTAAGATGAAGATGATCTTAAAAAAAAAAAAAAAAAGATGGAGATGATCATAGACTTTTCCAAATGGCATATAAGTAACCCTGTGACCTTTTATTGCTGTAGATAAATAACTTTTGCTCTTAAAATAAATGTACCAAACAGAATGCCCTTTCTTGTGATATAGACGATAGGTGCTGGTTTTGGTTTATTCTCTACATCCTTGTTTCATTTGCAGCATTTCTTTAGGCTCAGTCCCATATAAACTATACCATCAAATAAAATGAGATTTAGCTGAAAGGATCAATTAATAGACCTTATAAATTGCATCAATTATTTTCCCAAAACCAGTAGTACCTCTAGTAATAAAACCACTGGTTTCTATACGTTTGAGACACAGTGAGGGAAAAAAAAGCAGTTTTGCTCGTTTAGATTTACATTTATTGCATGATGGGTCTCTACAGTGTTTTATGAAAAAGAACATTTTGATTGAGCAGCAAACATTGACTGGTTTTCTCTATTTTATAAACTAGGAGCTCATCAGAAACAGCCCCAATATTCTCAAAATTGGGGAATCCCTTCAATCTGCCTAATAGTTTGCTTATAGTTAAACATGTTCTGGAATAAAGTTTAACAATTGGGTCAATCGGATCAATTAGTGAGGAAATATATGATCAATACCGCCCAAACCAATGAGGAATCACAGGAGAACAAGCAGACTCCAGGGTGACCTGAGAGGTCGAAGAGAAGGAGACTGAACAAGGAGGGATTTTCCTCCTCCAGACAGTCGTGCTATTTACGTTGATAGCATGTGATTAGCAGCATTTTTTTTTCTTGTCAAAAAGCTGTCATGTAAAAATGTAGTTACAACTGGATGCCAGTATGTGGCAGCATTGAGGATCTGTGATCATTATGGCTGAGTTTGACTGTACAGTGCTAAGACAGGATGCTGTGGAGAAGAAAAACAAGAAAACACACCTTCTTTCAATATGAACCCACATTTCCTCTCCTGTCTGACACAATAAACATCTTTAGGATCAAGCATTAATGTCTGAACAAAACCTGCCAAGAAAAGCAAGTTAGGAGGCCTATATACATATCTATTTACATCTGTGAAAATAAAATCTGAAAGTAACTTTACATCAGGCAACGTAGAGTTGGATCACCTTTAGTTTGATTGTGTGCCACCATTTTTTATTTGTTTTTCAGTCACAGAACTAAACACCTTCCTGTCAGAAATGAGCTGTTGATGTTTAAAAAGATTTAAAGTCATGAAGACATTAAAGCAAGACTCTAATGTTGACCTATAACTGTTAAAATCTGTCAGGTCTTCCTGGGATAGCAAAACTATTTTATTAGCAGCTTTGCTAAGCTTTATCTGCAACCAAGTAAAGATGTACTGTTAGCTAGATCTACATTCTACTATGATCTTAGTGTGTGCTAAACATAACATGAGGCCCAACAACAGAGAACATAATGTCATTTTTGGCAGCTGTAGCTAACTCACCGTTAACTCAAATTTGGAAAGGGGTCTGGCTGCAGAGCTGCACTGTCGGGACCCAGGGCTGCACTGTCGGGACCCAGAGCCGCACTGGCGGGACCCAGAGCCGCACTGGCGGGACCCAGAGCCGCACTGGCGGGACCCAGAGCCGCACTGTCAGGACCCAGAGCCGCACTGTCAGGACCCAGAGCTTCACTGTCGGGACCCAGAGCTGCACTGTCGGGACCCAGGGCCGCACTGTCGGGCCCCAGGGCCGCACTGTCGGGCCCCAGGGCCGCACTGGCGGGACCCAGGGCCGCACTGGCGGGACCCAGGGCCGCACTGTCGGGACCCAGGGCCGCACTGGCGGGACCCAGGGCCGCACTGGCGGGACCCAGAGCCGCACTGTCAGGACCCAGAGCCGCACTGTCAGGACCCAGAGCCGCACTGTCAGGACCCAGGGCCGCACTGTCAGGACCCAGGGCCGCACTGTCGGGCCCCAGGGCCGCACTGGCGGGACCCAGGGCCGCACTGGCGGGACCCATGGCCGCACTGGCGGGACCCAGGGCCGCACTGGCGGGACCCAGGGCTGCACTGTCAGGACCCAGGGCTGCACTGTCAGGACCCAGGGCCGCACTGGCGGGACCCAGGGCCGCACTGGTGGGACCCAGAGCCGCACTGGCGGGACCCTGGCTGCAGAGCTGAACTGTGAGGTATCCTGCTCTGACAGAATTCGATGACTTTCAAAGTAAAAGCAAAGTTGATTTGAAGCCTTTCTAAAGTAAAAGCTTGCATTGATAAACTCCACATGAAGCTAGCTTTCTTTCGCTAACAAGTAATGTTGCACCGATACCAGTACCGGATGGGGCCCCGATCCAGCACTAAAATGGTGGTATCGATATTGGTGAGTACCAACAAATAGGGCACCGATACCATTTTGAGAGCCAAAAGTTTATTCAACTATTGTCACCCATTCCAGGTAGGCAATAAAAAGTTCTACTGGATTCACTTTGTATAAGTCTTTTTCCTGCTTCACAAATCCATGATGGCAATTATTTTACATCCAAGTATATGCAGTTCTTCATATATACACTTACACATCAATTTCAGACAGATGGCATCGGTATCTGCCAACACTGCACAGCCAGGTATTGGGTATCGGTATCGGGGCCAAAAAATGGCATCGGCGCAATACTAGTAACAAATTTTGTTATGCTGGAAACTTACGTACTCGCACAATTTTACACCCCCATTAAAATTTTATCTGAAATAATAGATATGTGCTACATAGAAATAAGTCTCTGTATTTGGATTGCTGGATTGAAAAGAGCATTTGGTCTATAAGATATTTTCTAAACAACAATGCAGGTTGGCGGTCCTCTGAGAATTTTTCTTACTGTGTAATTTAAACTGCTGCTATGCTCAGGTTAACACTGCCATAAACCCTAATTCCCAAAGGCTTCGAATTCAACTTCCGGAGTAAACTTCTGGAACCAACAGTGCAGGAGACCCCATTTTGCAGATCTAGGCCCTGATAGTGCAGGTCTGCAAACAGACTCTTGCAAATTTGTCCGTTAGCTGGCGGCAACAAAATAAAGAAAAGTCTTCTTAGTACTGATTATTTTACATTTTAATTTAAATTATGTAATGTAGAAGAACTCAATAAACCAATTTTTCTTCTTTGTTGGGTATTTATCTGATGTCAGAATTTCTTAATGAATTGAAGTTCCTTAGATCAAATATGTTTGTAATAGCCAGTCCACATTAAATCAAAAATGTTGTTTGTTTAAGAAATAAATTGTGTAATAAAACACTGGAAATAGCACTGAAACAATTTATTGCATTAATAGGTTATTGAAATAATCATCAAATTATTTAATAATCTATTAATTGTTAACTGGAGATTAGACTCTAAAAGATGCTTTTAGCTGACAGAGAGACCCACTTAGAGCAGTAATTATACCAATATATATATATATATATATATATATATATATATATATATATATATATATATATATATATATATATATATATATATATATATATTTATATACCGTAAATATCTAGCCCTCAATATAAAAAAAAAAAAAAAAAACTTTTTTTCTCAGAACTCCTCAGGTGGAAAAGATTTGGTTTAATCTGGTTTAATTATATTTTTTTTTAAATAATCTTTAGGATTTGCTATCAGATTATTGTTCAAATTATCTTAAAAATAATCAAAAGATAACTGATTAGAAAAATAATCATCATTTGCATCCCTAATTGGAAAGCCAATATACTTGGTTTATACTAGGTTTAGTTATTATCCATTTATGTCCAAATGGTAGAAACAAATCAAATTAACCCCTTTTTTACATATTTGGTACCGTAATACATTTAGTTTTCAATATGCTGGAGGGTCAAATTTAAGCTTTGGTTAAAATAAAAACCACAGGGTAGAACAAACTAAACAAAACAAAAAAAAATCATATAAACCAAAATACCCCAAAAAAAGTTTATTATGTAACAAACCTCAGAAATTCATGTCTGGTCAACGCTTAGTTGGGGGGAGTTAAAAATAAAAATATAGTTTTTAGCAACAAGTTTAGGTGTGTCGATTAACAAAGGACTTCATCATTAGCTTTTTGTTTTTTTGTTTTTTTGGAAAACAATATTATTTTTGGCATTTCTTTGCTAAAAGCTAACAGCTTAGCTCATTGTGCAGAATTGGTTTTGAACGATTAGCATCAACAGACAAAAAATGACCTAATGGAAAGTGTGTACATAGTTATGCGACTCAAAACGGGTCAAAGCCCAGAAGCTAAGGGCCGCACTGCAGTAGCTGGGATTAGATGATGTACTGCGACAAACCGTCAGGGATTGCATATTAGGAAGTATAACAAAAAAAAAGGAAACAGTTAAGACAGGCTACCAGAAGCTTTCTGAAAAAGAAATTGCATACCCATTCATTTACTGCGTGTGAAGGCGCTCACAGCAACCCGTGTGAAAGTGTAAATGATTTTAGACAGTAGGTCTATCAGCAATAATCTAAACAAGTCATCATTTTAGAGGCAAAGACAAATATGCATACAATATACAACCCATTAGGTTCTACTGTCATACATCATAAACTCCACATAATTTCATTTGGTAGACTTTTGTGAACAAGTTCAAGTATATATATATTTATATATATTCCATGTATGTATGTATACTCTATTCTTTGTGTCACATAAAAAGATGCATTGCGCTTTACTAAGACAAAGTTACCGCTTCAAGTTTTTCTGCTTTAAGATGATATATTTTGGGATCTTAAAATAAGTCTGGAAGTTTTCTCTTTTGATGTTCATCTCTTTGCTCTGGGAAGTTTGGATTTAATTCCTCTCTTCTTTGGGAATATGTGAACAAACAGGTGATCCTACGTAACTGAAGGCTAAGATGAGAAACGTCGCATCACAAAGCTTAGTGTACCACCCGCTGCCCGTTAAGGGGGCCAACACTGGCAGACCCTTCTTGGCATCAGTCAACGTACATAGGAGAGATGGGCGAAGCCGGGATCTGATCCAGGATGCGACACACATAGCTGGCAACATCCACGAAGCGCTCCTCGTACATCAGGATAAACGGGTGTTTCTGGGGAGAAGATGGAGGAAGCTTTAAGTTAAATTTTGTACCATCAATTTTAAAATGCTATTTAAATTGAATCTAATATACAGCTACATCAGATTTTAAAAGGAAACTAAATAAAATATCCTTTCTGCACTGTGGGATTCCAATTAGAAATTATGTAGTACTTATGTTGTACCAGCAGGTGGTGGTAAAGATAAGCTTAGAATCAACAAGAAGAGACAAAAAAAAGGCATCTTTATTTTATTTCCAATAAAGATTTTGATCAAGAATACATTTTAAATTTGTATTAGAGGTACATAAAAATAAAAATAAACTAGTCTGATTTTCTACATTTCCATTTTTATTTAAAAAAGTGGACTATGGTGTGGGTTGTCATTAATGGTATAGTGGAGGATTATGGTGAATAAAAAAAAAAATAATGCACATGCCCAATCCTGTACCTGTTGCCGAAAGGGAACGCCTTTTAAAAATGTACGAGAGCGTGCACGAGCCCATTTCTCCTCGTGCACGGCACACTCTGTTTAAAAGTTGCTGTTTGCATCGCTCATACAAGCTTACTTTCCAAAAATAATATTTGCAATTTTTTTTTACGTAAACATATCACCTGAATGATTGAAAATTAGAAGGACCACTTATTTTGATGATCCACCAACAAAACAAAACATCCCCCACTGTTTTTTTAAGGTTATGTTGGAGTTTGGATAAAATGTTAGCATTAGCAGGTGATTTCAGAGGTCGTAGGTTTGTTTGTGATTGGAATACATAATTTCAAAAAGCATTATCTAAGCAGATAGTTATCCAGGCGGTTGTGTTGAGCTGCTGTTTTACAGGCTGGCGGCTCCACGAAAAAAAGACAGCCAGTATGTTTAAATGTTTACCAGAATAAGGGTAGTAATTATGCTCTTTTGATGCATTTCAAATCGAATAAACCGATAAAGACACTTTTGCTTCAATTTCAGACTGAAACGATTTCTGCTTCCTCCTAAAATTTTACATAATCTTTTTAGTATTTTTACCTTTTCTCTGAACAGATCTGATGTGCTTTCACATATATGTAGATATTTATGAGATATTTAGCTAAACTTTATAAGCAAAATGCTGAGACAGATTTGTTTTTTGCAGAGATAAAATTGCTTTCTTATTGAGCCCTTGAACAAACAGACCTTATGAGAGGTGTCTTACCAGAAGCTCTCTGTACTTTGGCCTCTTTGATTCATCTTTTGTAAGGCTGCATAAGAAAAGAAAAAAAACAGAGCTGATTACATATCTCAGTAAACAAATCTCAGGATGTATTTTAGATACAAAAAACAAGAGTGAGAAAGGAAATGTGAGGAAGTTTAGGGTGAAAATCTGTTCCTGGAATCATCAGCATCTACTTTCCTATAGCGACACCTACCATAGGTTAACAAAGTTGATGAACTTTGGGGAGAACTGCCTCTCCTCTGAGTTGCTGAGCTGTGGAGGCTCTCCTTTCACCACCTGTGTCAGCTGATCAAAAACACTGTTCCACTTGGGGTAAGGAAATCTTCCTGTAGCTAGCTCATACTGGGAACACAAACAAACAAGTTTTACTTATCGACAACCATTACTTCCTCAATAGTAGAATAAAAATCATTGAATCTGGAGGTTTTATTGGTTACCAGGGTGATTCCCAAGCTCCAAACGTCAGAGCGAACGTCGTATCCCTGCCTGGAAGCACTGGGGTCTATCCTTTCAGGCTGAAAATAAAACCAAAAAATTATTCCACTATATTCCCCAAACTATAAATTAGACGGTGCCGTTTTCTTTGCTAATTGTCATATTTTTTTTTTTACCCCAAATTAATTAATAGCAGGTTGATCCTAAACTTTAAAAAAATTTTCTACAATTGTAAATACTGACCACAAACAATCTGGGTTTTCCTCACAGAAAGAGCGTTTTTATTTAAAAATGTGCAGATTTGATCCTTTATCCTGGATTTCAGAGTTTTTTAGTAAAGAAAACCTTTTATTTTTTATAATTCTGATCATAAAAACTCTGAAAAAGAACAATTTTTAAAGCTACAGTGTGTAATAATTACAGGGATATACAGTCAGAAATGTAATATATTATACATAACTATGTTATTTATCATCATCTACGAGCTCAGCCTCTTAACCTTAATATTTGCATTGCCTTAGAATTCGTTATTTATAATTACATAGGAGCGGGTCTCGCAGCCACGGAGGCAGACATCTTTGCGCTGCGGCAGCGCAGAGCCAACAAACTAGCGAGTACGAGATCGCCCATTACGCTCAAAAGTAACTACGGCAAGTTGAGAGAGATGAACTGAGACGGTACTGAACAATAGATGGCAGTATTATGCCTGAGAATACTATCTGTAAAATTATCTATGTAAACAAACCTCATCACTTGAGAAGGTAGGTGATGCGGACGTCGTGAAAGACATTTTGTCCCATAACGCTCGCCGTACTGTTGGAGGGGAGAAGCGGTGGGGGGGAGATGTTCATGTTGCTGCGGTCTGCAGTCTGGACGTTAGATGTCGCTAAAAATTACACACTGTAGCTTTAATGCATTTTCTTTTTATTTCTCCTTCTTCTGTAAGACTCTAAAACCATCAGTTCCCAAATAATAATAATAATTATAAAGTAATACATTGGTGGAAAATGATGGAATTTAATGACTTTTTACAGAGATTTCAGAGTTTAAAGTTAGAATTCTGAGATTAAAGTCAGAATTCTGAGACGCTTTTCTCAGAATTATGATTTTTTTTTTTCTCATATTATCCTGATATAAAATTTCAAAATCAGTTAACTTTTTTATTTTTTCAGTGGCTCTAATCCTCTTCCATAGTTTTTTGGGGGAAAATTTGTGTTGTTTTTTTTTGTTTTTTGTTTTTTTAATCAATGAACTATAGTCCAGTTCTGAGTTCAGCTTCTGGTTTCTGTTGACCAAAACAGGCAGAATTCAAATCTGCAGTCATATCACCACAGAACAGGCTCAGACTAGAAGGCAACTGGATTTTCGTCAGTTTTTTTGTTTCAAAACCGATCAAAAAAACTCTTTCAATTCTGGCGGCTTGCAGCAGAACTTGTTCTTTTACAAAAATCATTTGCTTGAGAAATAAATTCCAAGAGATAATGAAGCCAAAAGAGACACTGATATTTCTTTTATTATGTGAAAACACAGAGTATTCCCACCTTTTCATTTCCATCACAGAGCAAAAATCTCCATTTTGTTCAACATGAATTCGACTGTAAACATCTCTGAACACACTAACTCACAATAAGGAAGTGAAAACAGGCTTCGGATGTTTTTTCCCTTTTAAAAAACAAAACGAAACACAGCAAAGGCATCTATTTACAGACATGGCTTAATATTTTGTTGAATCCTATTTTGACAGTAGCCACAGACTTCTTGATTGTTTGTGGAAGCTCAGCCAGTGTCAGTTTTAGTGGATTGAAGTCCTCAGGCTTTGGCTCGTCGGTTAACACGTTGCTCCTGTAGGGACTAGTTGTTACCTTGTTTGCCTGAGGCCTGAGTTTTCATAGAAGTCTCAAAGCATCCCTCTATATTTTTATGACATTATCTTGAATGCAAACGAGTTGCTCACCTCCTGCAGCATTATGATAACCACCACCGTGCTTTACAGTAGGCTAAATGTTAAACATGCAATGAGTAGAAGTTGTTCTATCCTATCCGTAATGCTTGAAGCAGCATCCAAACCTGCCATTTTCAGATTAATCAGAACAGGGAATTTAATTTCTCCTTGTTTTTGCAAAATTACGAGTTGTTTACACTGGTGTCACTTTATGCGTTTAATGCATCGATGCAAGTTTTTCCATCTTGAAAGATTTAAGTGATTTTAGAAGAAGTGGGTGAAATAAAAGTGTGAATAAGCTTGAAAAAGTTCAGTCTAGGCAACTTAGTGTGAAGTTTTCTAGAAGATGTTTCGCCTCTCATCCAAGGGGCTTCTTCAGCTCTAACTAGTGGTGGGGAGCACTGAGATTAATGTAGTGTAGGCTATTTACACTACCCTCTGAAAACCGATCCATGCCGAGCTTGGATCAGTTAACCTTGCCGAGCTCAGTTTCCAACAACCATTCACGCCCTAGAATTCCTCGCCTCCTAGTAGATCTACGGTAGTACTGCTCAAATCAACATGGCGGCGCCTGTAACATTCAGGAAGTTTGGCTGTTTTTTGTGATATTTCCTTGTTTGCGGAGAGTAAGGCGAAGAAGGCAGCCTTTGGTGGATTCGGTTTTTGGGAGATGGATAGTCTAAAGCGTAGGTCTTCAACACCGCCTTCCTCACCGCCTCAGCCGTATCTAGACCCACCGCTAGATCATGATTGTCCCTCTTGCGTTGTGGCAGGGAATAACATAGCACAGACCAAGCTTCAATACTGGGCATAAATCTAAAAATATCTGTAACAAGCTCACTGCGACACACTGCTGCGGGAAGATAACCAGCACTTAATCAGGGATTACAGACGCAGGAAACGACAGTAATTGAGGCTCATCACACTGCTAAGCAGAATCATCACTGGAAATCGTGTGGCACAGTAGGGAAGCTAATATTTTTATGAAAGTCTGAAATTTCCTCATTACGGAGGCTGACTGTAAGGGGATGACAAGATCTGCTCATGCTCTCTTTACTGTCTGAGAAGCGAGCAAGAACTGAACGACGCCGAGACCTACTGATGAACCAGTACTATGATAGTGCATTTTATTAACGCCTTAGGTATGAATAAAGATCCATTGATCCTTCCTTCGTGACCGCATTTTTCCTTTAAAAAAGAAAAGGGATGCAGAATAAACAGATTGAATGAAAACAGCTAATGAACACTTACTGCCATGTAAGGCCTGCAGCCTGCGTCTCTAGTCTTGGCTATGGAATCCACCAGCTGGCCGCTGATGCCGAAGTCACATAGTTTGATGTTTCCCCTTCTGTCCATCAGAATGTTGGAAGGTTTGATGTCTGGAAAGAGACCATAAAAAGGTAACAATTACATACAAAAAAAAAAAAAAAAAAAAAAAAAATTAATAAAACTCTTACCTCTGTGAATTATTTTCAAGTTTTCCTTTAAGTGATTCAGTGCTTTAACCGTCTGCAAGAAAGACGCTAAATTAAACCTTCAGGTCGTTTAGAGGCGCTTCATAAATCGTCATTTAAGGTAGGAGAAAATGTTTGCTTACAGCTAATGTTATATTGCCTAATATTTCCTCTGGAATGACATCATCTAATACGCAATATACATATTTGTAGAATTTGTCTAATGAGGTAGACATTAGCTCCATACAGATCCAACAGTCCCCCTGAAACAAAAAGAGAAATTCAATTAGTAGGAAACAGAAACACATTGGAGTCTATTTGACGGAGATCTAGGTGGGTTTTCTAGACCTCTCTGAAGAGGGCGCCATAGAACTGGACGATGTAGGGACAGTCGCTACTCCTCATCACCACGTCCAGATCCATCAGCAGCTGCTTCTGCTCCTTCTCATCCACAGTGGAGCGAATCCTCTGAGGAACAACAGGGAAATATTCCTCCCACGGTCAGTCATACCAGATCACATCACTTGGGATCTTCTTCACATTCTTTGGAAATGTTGTCACCTTGACTGCCATAATCTGGCCTGTAGGTTTATGGACCATCTTGTTGACGGAGCCGTAGGCCCCGCGGCCGATCTCCCCGAGGTCCCTCAGGTCTTCTGCGGTGAAGTCGCAGTGCTGCTCTGGGGAGATCTTCAGCTTTCCGGAGGACTCGATGCTGTGTGTCCGCAGACGCTCTCTACAGATACCCCACAATTCAATTCAGTTTATTTATATAGGACCTATTCACAACATGTGTCATCTTAACCCATTTAGGCCGGGAAAGCATTACCGCATTTCTACCATTCAAGCCGGGGGCGCTGTTGCGTAATTCTACCATTGACGCCGGGAGAGCATAAGTCTAGCAAGAAGAAAGAAGTTTTTTTCAAGCAAACATGGAGGAGTTTGACAGAGAAGAGTTGTCGGAAGGCAGTGATTTTGAGGAGTGTGTCGGCTTTGATGACGGTATAGATGAAAATGATGACTTTGAACGCGCTGAACCAATCGAACTACCACCGCAATGCACGGAGTGTTTTCAACCGCACACCTGGAGTGAAAGTTTATTTGCCTGCAGACGCCACACCGCTGCAGGCATTTGAGCATATTTTTAATGAAGAACTTTGGATGCATCTTGTTACCGAGACGAATAGGTACAGTGACCAAACAAACCAAACTCCAACAAGAGCAAAGATGGCAAAGTGGTCACCCGTGACTGTGACGGAGATGAAGACATTTATTGGGCTGTGTATAGGCATAGGACTTCTTGTGTTGCCAGTATGAAGAGATTATTGGCGACAGAGTAAACCTCTCTTCAGGACGCAGTTCCCCCAAAATATGTCCCGGGACAGATTTGTGGCCATCTGGAGGTAAGTTGTATGCAATTTATAACACAGACATATGCATTATTATGCATAATAATACTGTTAATAAGTAATCATCAGATAGTTATTTATGTAATGTTTGTTCTTTATTTTAAAAACGTTTTATATTGCACATTCTCAATGAAGACTTGATCACATATGGAAAAAATAAAAGGTTGAATTTTTTTTTTTTTTTGATTACTGCTTTTCACTTTTTTTTTTTTGGAAGAATTTCAAAGATAAAATATATTTTGAGTTCTATCTGCTACAGAAGCTGAGATATCAATAATTTACTAGGCGTTGACACAGTTGCTGAATTTACAGGAAAAACTTCAGGTTTTAGGGGTATTTTTTAAAATCGGCCATAGGTTTTTAAGGTGTTTTTTCCAGGCGTTTTAGGCCTAAATGGGTTAAGGCATTTTACAGAGACAATTCAACAAGATCATACAGCCAGAAGGGTTTAAAGTTTTCTATCTAAGGAAAATCAGCTGATTGCATCGACTCATTGACTCAAAGGCAATCCCTCACACAAAGCATGCTTGTTGCGACAGTGGAGAGGAAAAACTCCCCTTTAACAGGAAGAAACCTCCAGCAGAACCAGGCTCAGTGTGAGCGGCCATCTGCTGAGGCTGACTGGGGTTCAAGGAGACAGAAGCAGACGCAGCTTCTTTAGAAACAGAAGTAAAGCAGTTTGGGTTTTTTTGCCGAGGAAAATTGTGGAGCAAAAAAAAAAAAAAAAAAACACCACAGGAAAACCAAATAGTTTTTTTTAAAGCAACACTTTCACTTTTCTGTAACTTCCAGGTTTAGGTTAGTTTTTCATCCCTCTAGATTAAATCTTATAATGATCAGGGAAGTTTTCTGATATTTTGTTGTAGTTTTGTTGGGCAACAACCACTTATAGCTTAGTTCGCTTTCACGTTTAAGAGGACCTCAGACGAGCACAAAGCGGCGCACTGGATCACATGACTCATTCAGTGATGGATCAGACCTCTAAGCTGAGTTTTTGAGCAGAGAGGGCATGCAGAGAGCATCAATACGCACCAAATGACGTACACGGAAATGAAAAAGGATTTACTATGGTCATTTCTCAATTCACTAGAACGCGAGTACGGTCTCGTGTCCTCGCCACGTACGTTCTTGAGAATAACACAGGAAAGTATGGACTCGGCGAGAACGGGAACATGCAGCATAAATATGGTTCAACTGGAACAGAGCGTACTTGTGACGTCACCACACGCTCGGTTTGTCTAGAGCTGCATTTCACCTCCTGTTATTAATAGTCTCTAGATAATACTAAATACTTTTTTCATTTAGTCAGATAAATACAAATCAAATGAACATTTTGTCAAATAAAACAAAAAAATTGTCATCAGAGCCAGCGGTCCTTCACACACAGCTATGCAGAGAGAGGGCTGCTGAAGACGGGATGCAGTTAGCCCTGGCTGCCGTTAGCCTCGAAGGTCAACTGGTTGCCGTGGTCCTCTCAACTTCCCTTTTTTTTTTTATTAAATCGGTAAATGGACCATATAGTGACGCTTTAAAGTATAATATTCTCGCCTCAAATTATCTTAAAACATGCTTTTATTGAACAACAGCAACAGAAAAGAGAACTTTTAACTTTCAGTGGAGCGCTCCATGGAAAGCTGCTGCTGCCGCAGAGCATGCTGGGACAGCTATTAATCTCAAGAACGGACAAGTCTGCTCTGATGCATACTGGGTAAATAGGGAGGGGCGAGAACAACATCCTGGGACTTTGTCCGTTCTCGGTCTGCTGTTCTTGTGAATTGGAACAGTGCTAGGGCTGAGGATGATGACGTTTCACGAGCACATGAGAACGCACAAATACACATATTGAGAAACGGCCTATATCCCAGTTTCAGCTAATATTGGGGTGCTAGTGTTGCTTTAAGGTAACAATAATTGGAGAAAATGCAATAAATCTACTATCAAAATAACTGTTAACTATGTTAGGATTATTCTTACTCTATATGTGTTTGCTATATTACCTATCTGTTAAGCAGAGGAGATAAATTACATAGTCTTCCTTTACATAGTGTAACACTGTGTGATTACAGAGGCTATCTAATGACAGGCTTTCTGTCTGAACAATAAACAAAAATAACGGAACATTCCAGAGGTCAGAGTGATAAAGAAGAACACGTCTGTAATCCTGAGGAGTAGATGCAGCAGGGAACGAGGTCCGGATCCGACGGTGAGTCAGGAACTGACACGCATAGCTAAGCATCCACCTGATGCAACATAGACTCATGAAGCATAGGAAGCAGGAGGTGACCTGGTTTGGGGCACATTTTTGGACGCCATTGCTTGCTGATGACTGGCGCTCGTAGCTGTGCTGACTCGCTGTAATTTCTCTGTTCTGAACTGATTTAATCTGGAATAAATTCTGTTAACTATTCACTCCTGCTTCTTATAGATTTTCAAAGCCTTAAAATAAAAGTGGTTAAACTTAGTAGATTCCCCCCAGGAAAAGAACTAGAAGGGAGGCTCCAAGGCCTTGATGGCTTCAGAGGCCTTTTTTACAACTAATTTAGGTATTGATGAATAGTAACTGGAGTATATAGACTCTAAAACATGTCTTTAGCTGAAAGAGCAACAAACTTATACCGAAATTGTCAAAAAAAATCCTCAAGTTTTAGTTTCACCCGGTTTAATTCTGTAAAAGAAAAAAATCTTCTTTAACGAACCTTAAGCTATCCGAATATTGACTGATTAATCTAAATAGAACTGACAGATTACAGCTAAACACCTGTACTGTTGCATGTTTATAAGTCTGCTAGTGGTTAATTATGTAGTACTCATGATTTTAATAACCATCAATATGGTTCAAGTGCATAAACTGTACCCTCGCTTCAGTGCTATCATAGTTTTTAAAACAAAACAAAAAGTTTAGTTTAAACAGCAAGAGGCAGCTTAAAGCCATATCATTGTATGTAAATAACTTTGAGTTCCCTTTGGGGAACTTTGTTCATAGAGACAGTTTATCTACACAAATGAAAACGTTTGCTTTATTGTAAAGTCACCAACGTTAATTAAAGAATTAGCTTTTAACCATTACAAACTTGTATTTATAAATACTACTTCAAATAAAGCAGTTTAACCTGAATGTATAAACACTAGGTGGAGTTGAAAGACCAGCCAGTTTTCTTTTCATTAACTAAAGGTATAAAAGCAAAACCAGCTAAATCAGTTTTTTTTTTATTTTCACCTGATGACATACACTATATTGCCAAAAGTATTTGCTCACCTGCCTTGACTCACATATGAGCTTAAGTGACATCCCGTTCCTAATCCATAGGGTTCAATATGACGTCGGTCCACCCTTTGCAGCTAGAACAGCTTCAACTCTTCTGGGAAGGCTGTCCACAAGGTTTAGGAGTGTGTTTATGGGAATTTTTGACCATTCTTCCAGAAGCGCATTTGTGAGGTTGCACACTGATGTTGGACGAGAAGGCCTGGCTCTCAGTCTCCGCTCTAATTCATCCCAAAGGTGTTCTATCGGGTTGAGGTCAGGACTCTGTGCAGGCCAGTCAAGTTCATCCACACCAGACTCTGTCATCCATGTCTTTATGGACCTTGCTTTGTGCACTGGTGCACAGTCATGTTGGAAGAGGAAGGGGCCAGCTCCAAACTGTTCCCACAAAGTTGGGAGCATGGAATTGTCCAAAATGTCTTGGGATGCTGAAGCATTCAGAGTTCCTTTCACTGGAACTAAGGGGCCAAGCCCAGCTCCTGAAAAACAACCTCACACCATAATCCCCCCTCCACCAAACTTTACACTTGGCACAATGCAGTCAGACAAGTACCGTTCTCCTGGCAACCGCCAAACCCAGACCCGTACATCAGATTGCCAGATGGAGAAGCGCGATTCGTCACTCCAGAGAACGCGTCTCCACTGCTCTAGAGTCCAGTGGCGGCGTGCTTTACACCACCGCATCCGACGCTTTGCATTGCACTTGGTGATGTATGGTTTGGATGCAGCTGCTCGACCATGGAAACCCATTCCATAAAGCTCTCTGCGCACTGTTCTTGAGCTAATCTGAAGGCCACATGAAGTTTGGAGGTCTGTAGTGATTGACTCTGCAGAAAGTTGGCGACCTCTTCGCACTATGCGCGTCAGCATCCGCTGACCCCGCTCCGTCAGTTTACGTGGCCTACCACTTCGTGGCTGAGTTGCTGTCGTTCCCAAACACTTCCATTTTCTTATAATACAGCTGACAGTTGACTGTGGAATATTTAGGAGCGAGGAAATTTCACGACTGGATTTGTTGCACAGGTGGCATCCTATCACAGTTCCACGCTGGAATTCACTGAGCTCCTGAGAGCGACCCATTCTTTCACAAATGTTTGTAAGAACAGTCTGCATGCCTAGGTGCTTGAATTTATACACCTGTGGCCATGGAAGTGATTGGAACACCTGATTCCAATAATTTGGATGGGTGAGCAAATACTTTTGGCAATATAGTGTACGTTCTTTATTCTATTATTCTGGCTGAGCTAAAAGACAACAGGTTCCCTTTTATGGCCTGAAATAAGTGCTATGGTAGTGGAAACAGGAAGCAGTTATTAACTCTATCATTTAAAATTCAAACTAGTTGGGTAAAAAAACAAGGGGAAAGATAAAAACGATTCAATATGTCCTTGAGATACGACAGAGTTTTAGGCCCAGGTTAGAGATTTTATTTATTTTTATTTTTTTGAATAAAGTCGTAATATTACGAGAATGAAGTCATCATGCAACAACCTGTTTCAGATAAAAAGCTTAGAGCTTAGACCAGCAGATGACGGCCGACCAGCTCCACCAAGGAGCAACTCACTTTAACGTGCTGCCCAATTTGATGATGGTGCTAAAAGATTTCCTTATTTGTCAAACCAGAGCCAAAGTACTTCACATTATACTTGATTCCTCATTTTAGTGAACACAGTGCTTCTTGTGAGAGTTGTAATAAAATACAACTTTTTTCTCGTAATTTTACGACTTTTTTCTCATAATGTTACGACTTTATTCTCGTAATGTTACGACTTTATTCCTGTAATGATACGACTTATATTCCTGTAATGATACGACTTTTATTCTCGTAATTTCACTACTTTATTCTCGTAATTTCACGACTTTATTCTCGTAATTTCACGACTTTATTCTCGTAATTTTACGACTTTATTCTCGTAATTTTACGACTTTATTCTCGTAATTTTACGACTTTATTCTCGTAATTTTATTACCTTATTTTCGTAATTTTATTACCTTATTTTCGTAATTTTACGACTTTATTCTCGGAATTTTACGACTTTATTCTCGGAATTTTATTACCTTATTTCCGTAATGTTACGACTTTATTCTCATAATGTTACGACTTTATTCTCGTAATGTTACAACTTTACATTTGCTTTTCTTTTATCCTTCTTAGTCACGTTATAAGAAGCTGTTCAATCAGTGAAAGAAAGGGGAAAAAATAAATAAATAAAGTGACCCATGACTTCCTACCCTGACTGTCTTTACTCACATGTGGGGATTCTGGAAGGAAGGAGCCGAGGGATGAAGCGGGAGCCTGGAGGCCGGTTTCACCAGAGGGTTGGCGAAATTCAACTTCAGAGCTTTGCGTTTACCTGGTGGGCAGAGGGAGAAACACGTCCAGATTGCCACAACATGCACACCTTCGGGGGGGTGGGGGACAGATGCAAGCTACACAGGTACAGCCCAGTACATTAGAATACAGACTCTTCATTGCTCAGAGAATGAATGAGGGTTTATTACAGGTAGTGAAAACTCAATAAAATCAAATCTAATCCATGTTTTATAGGTGTTTGTAACTTTCTCAGAAACAAAAAGGTTGCTCTTCATAAACTACAAACAATAAAGTGAAATACACTATATTAAAATAAATGTACTTTTCGGGGATCTTCTAATGTACTAAGATGTACCTGTAAACAGGGCACCAAAAAATGAGTCTCAATTTGTTAACCCACTTTAGATAAGCTCAAACAATATGTCCAATAGGAGATAACGGTATGAGAAAGATTTAAAGTCATCTGAAGAGCAAAAGAAGAATGGAATGAGTCTCTGAACAGAAGCAAAGAGTCCGTTTCCACAGAGTTTCCCAATGTTCAAAAACTAAAGCGAAAAAGCTTGTTGCTTCCAAACAAAAAAAGCATGCAGTGTGTGTTTGTGTTATTAGGAAAGACTGGAATGCAATGAAATAGTTGCCCACATTGGAAATCCCTGTTTGATTAAAATATGCAAGAACCCCAACAGCTCCATGTAGATATGAAGGGTTCCCACCACTCAAACAGCACTTTGGTCCCATTCAAGGAGCAAACATTTGGGTTTGAATGGATTCAGGCGACTTTAAAGCCACCGGTGGGAGTGTATTACTTTAAGGTGCTGAAGTTAAGTGCTGGGTCCTTATTGCCATGCCTTGTCCAACCAGCTAGAGTGCAAACCATCCCTTTACCTTTAGAGTCCCAGTGCAAGGAAAATGTGTGGTGGCTATGGCTGAATGGTGTCAGAGTTAGGCAGGGAATAGCGGACAGACTCCCAAACTACCAGAACACCACACAGACTCTTTCAGTAGTGTACAGTGGTCCCATCTAAACCTGTTTGACCCATCCAACCGGATGTTAGCACAGACCAATGGCTAGGCTGCAGCCAGTAGTATCTAATGGTCGGCTTTTGTTGAGGGAAAGAAACCACTTTAGACTACTGACGTGTTCCAACAAAGAGTAGAGTGTTTTGAGTGAAAGTCTAACGCTTACTTGTAGGAACTCCAGACAGGCTTATTTGAAACCCTGAAGTAAAGAGAAAAGCAGTTTTTACTACAATTTCTCAGAGTCTATTTGGGTTTTTTTTTAACAAGTTACGTCTGGGTAGAGGTTGGTGATGGAAGTGGAAGAATTTACCAATTCCCATCGGCTCTTATTGTACTACAGACCTGCGCAGCGGACAGGAAAGGACCAAGTACTGGTTCGATGATTTCTTTTTTTTTTAGCTTTAGACAAATACTATTGATTCCAGATGAATTGGTTTTAATATCACTCTGCTGACGTTTGAGGTCGGTAAGTTCGGTCTGGCATTGCTCAATAGTAGCGCGAGTATGCTCGCACAATATCTGGCGGGCCAATCAAATTGTCAGGGCGGGCTTTATACGATGATGGACAGATGATCAACAGTAACGTAATCAACCACGTCACCAAAGCGCGCATGGGTGACAACAACAATGGCTGCCGCTGGAAAGTTGAGGTGTGTAGATTCTGCTATTAGGTCTGTTCTAGAAGATATCGATAGCAAATTAATTTTAAAAGAGGAACAGAGAAAAGCGATCAAGGCTCATCTTCTTATTCTAGGCGTGCAACTGCACGCTTTGATTTTTGTTGACAACAACTACGCCTCGCTTAACATACGTCACGCACTCCTTTTGCTCTTATTGGTTGTAGGTCTATCCAATTGAGTGCAGAGGCATTTTTTTCCTGGTTCGTTCGAAACACGCCCCATAATCACAGCTCTATGGAGCAGTATCAGACTCATATTCTGACTAAAATTGAGTAGGACTACGTCAGGCTACTCCTTGTCTGCGGTCACCTACAATTTTGGAGAGGTGCAGCAGAGTGTCAGCAGAAGGGGCGGGGGCATATCTGCGTTAACTGCGACACACCCGCAGACGACCTGCTTTCTGAGTATAAATCAGCCTTTTGAGTCAAGTTTTGTAACGCACTCCTGACTGGTCTCCTGGAACATTTGTAAAACCGTTACATATGATCCAGAACGCGGCGGCGTGTCTGGTTTTCAATCACCCCTCTGTTCATTGAACTACAATGGTTACCCCTGGCTGCCCTCATCAAATTCAAGTCCCTGATGCGAGCCTAAAAAGTGCTTAAGGGTACAGCTCCCGTCTACAACTCGGTCACTCTGGTCAGCAATGGATGGTCGTCTAGCAGTGCCTAAACCACCCTTAGGAAAATCCAGACTGTTTTCATGTGTTGTTTCAAGATTGTGGAATGACCTACCAAGAGCTAAAAGAACAGCAGTGTCCCTTTCAATCTTTGGGAAACTCTTAAAGAACGACTTCTTGAAAGAGCACCCTTATCGTAACCCTTACTCATAATTCTGTACCCCTCTACTACTCTTTCTGGACTTCCCTCTCTCTCTCTCTTTGTTGTCACCACTGATTCAAACTAGGGATTTTCCTTTAAAGAAAACCTTGGCTGTTCAGCCAGACCAACAATTCCCACCTTTCACACACATAGACATGGTATTGGGTATTGCAGGCTAACAAAGAATCCAACCGAACCCCATTCCTAAGGGGCATACCTATCTGTCCGGTTAGATTTGCATGTTTTCTAAGCCAAAACAAGGCTTTGTTTTTGGTCCACTGCATAAAGCCTCAAACCCATAGCCATTTCTGACATTTAGAATTGAAAAGGCTTCCTGGATGGGAAGCGAAACATCTTCAAACTTGGAAACAAAGTCCAGTGTTTGTTTGTTTTTTTAACTTTATTGGAATTTTCTATTTTTTTAGAGAACTTATTGTCGCATTGATAACTGTAACATTGTGTCTATTTTGTAAGTCTCTTTGGGTAAAATTGTCTGCTAAATGGATAAACAATAAGTGTTCTGCTAGCAGATGACCTGAGCGACAACAAGAGATCCCCACTGATGATCTAACAGCAGCTCCAGATCTGAGCTTCACCAGCTCTAACTGAGCCCAGAAACCCAATAATCCATTTTTTTCACTTGATCAATAAACACATCACCCCTGACAAACAGCTGGATTTGCAACAGGGTTGAAAGTTTCTTCCGGATGGCGTTTTTTTTCCAGGATTTTTCCATGTTTTTTTTTTTTTGGCCGTAAGAAAGAAGATCAAATTTACTGGAAAATGTTGTTTCTTTTGGTGAATATTTTGCCTTAAGCAGCCCAAATGCAGTAATAACCTTGATGTGGGGTTCAATATCTATAAACCAGGGTGGGGGCATGTATAGCAGAAGAAATTAAAGGAAAAGAAAGCCAGCAGCTGGTGTAATCCGATTATACAGGAAAGCATTTTCCTACCATTTAGAGTCTATTAGAAAATAATCACTTCTGGCAAGAATGAGCTGGACTATTCAACTGTATTTTGCTACTTTATTGCTGCAACTCTGTTTGTGCAAATGCAGTGCTTAAACACAGTTATTACTTTAAAAGTTTTGTAACCAACAATTATGCATTTATCTATATTTTTATACATACAATAAATAAATTATATAAATTCTTAATTTGTTTCACTATATCTATTCTCATGAAGATTCATCCTTATGTAGCCCGGTGGATATAGTAAGTTGGTTTTTCAATCGAACTATCCCAGTTCTCCAAAAATATTATGAGAACTTTCTTCCAGTTTCTTCCGGAAGAAAGGGAAAAATTGGAGAAAAAACCCCAACACTTTCCACTTCCACTTGTCCGGAGAAACACGTTTCTTCCGGACAATTGGGAGAATGTTGTTGCAGCAACATTTGTTGGTATTAAAGTGATTTTGGTTGCAGGAGGAAGACTTCGCTGGCTTTGTTCAGTAAGAGGTGATGGTGATGATGCCAGAAGCTGGAGAACAGAGGCAGGTCTGCTATTCCATTACTATATATTTTACCGACCTGCTATCCATGCTTGGAAAGGAGCTGCCTGCTACAGAATGTCATCTTATGCTGTATGTTGGGAATGTTTAGTCACTGATCAAGGGAAGAGGTGTCAAAAGTATCAATCTTCATTACTCAAGTAGAAATCCTACTGTTTAAAAACACTTTTGTAGCGGTTAGAGTATCAACTTTAGCTTTTTACTCAAGTAAGAGTGTCTATTAAAGGAACATTTTTCTACAATTCTGCATGATAACTTCCTTACACTTAATTTTCTTAGTTTTATAACTAATGGCAACAGTGTCCAATTTAACTTTACATCATCTTGAAAAAAAATTTATTTTGGTCAGCATAACAAAGAAATTGTCTGGTTGAAACAAATTATTTTGATAGTTTTAATTTTTTCAAATACCAACAGGCCATAAGGAAAATTAGCTCAAATGAAGACAGAAAATAACAAGCCTATTTTAAAAATGTAAGGTGTAGAAAGTAGAGATAACTGCAAAACAATGAAATATACAATCAAGAAGTAGAAGTATAAAGTTGTCAAAAAAGTAATTACATCAGTAAAGCATTGGTAGCTGAAATTTCTAATTAAGTAAGTTAATGTATTTGTTACTTGACACCTCTGATGAAGGGACGAATGCACCAAACACCAGGACGCTGAATTCATAAGAACAAAGTTTGTGTTTTTACCTTTCTGAAATCTGTAGTTTCTGCAAGGGCGGGGTATCCATTCAAATTTTAAGAATCGATAGATTCCAAATCTTATGATTTAGAAGCAATTCTTTTTTATCTGATTCGATTTCTTAAGCTCTAACCTAAACTACATGACAGTGCAGTTATAAAACTTGTTGATACTAGTACTACGCTAGCATTTATCAGCAATTTAATAAAGTATTGGGCCAGGCTAGAGATTTTTTTTTTCTTATATTTCGAGAATAAAGTTGTAACATTACGAGAATAAAGTTGTAAAATTATGTGAACAAAGTTGTAATATTACGAGAATAAAGCTGTAACATTACAAGAATAAAGTTGTAATATTACGCGAATGAATTCATCATACAACAACCCGTTTCAGAAAGCTTCGTGCTCCGACCAGCAGATGACGACCAACCAGCTCCACCAAACAGCAAACCGAGTCCACTTTGACATGCTGCCCAATTTGATGCTGATTTCCTCATTTGTCAAACCAGAGCCAAAGTATAACTTCACATTATGCTTGACATTCCTCATTTTAGAGCAGAAAATGCTTCTTGTAAGAATTTTCATAAAATACAACTTGTTTCTCGTAGTTTTAGGACTTTATTCTCTTAATATTGCGACTTTATTCTCGTAATTTTATGATTATTCTCGTTGTGACTTTTTTCACGTAATGTTGCGACTTTATTCTTGTAATGTTACGATGTTATTCTCGTAATGTTACGACTTTATTCTCGTAATGTTACGACTTTATTCTCGTAATGTTACGACGTTATTCTCGTAATGTTACGACGTTATTCTCGTAATATTATGACTTTATTCTCCTAATGTTACAACTTTATTCTCCTAATGTTATGACTTTATTCTCCTAATGTTACGACTTTATTCTCGTAATGTTATGACTTTATTATTGTAATGTTACGACGTTATTCTCGTAATGTTACGACGTTATTCTCGTAATGTTACGACGTTATTCTCCTAATGTTATGACTTTATTCTCGTAATGTTATGACTTTATTATTGTAATGTTACGACGTTATTCTCGTGATGTTACGACGTTATTCACGTGATGTTACGACGTTATTCACGTGATGTTACGACTTTATTCTCGTAATGTTACGACTTTATTCTCATAATATAAGAGAAAAAAATCTCTAGCCTGGCCTTAACACTCCATCCTAGTTAGGACAGCAGGAAAAGCATGACATAGTTGTTGTTGTTTTTTTATTGATCATTGGTTATAGGAATTCATATTTAGGAAATAATATGAGAATCAATACTTTTTTTTTTTTTTTTTTTACACAGCCCTAGTTTTGGGCCATCAGGGTTTCAGGTTATGTTGGCATTCTTTTGACAATCTGAATGAAATAATAAAAAAGAAGAAAATATACAACAAAGAAAGAGAGGAAGAAATGATAAAAGGAAGGAAAGAGAAGAAAGCCTGGAAACACAACTTTTTTTCCCCATACACTGTTTTTCCCCTCCCATACTTCTCTTGTACTGGAAAACAATTAAATTCCAGACTTTTCCCGTTAGTGGTAGAACCCTGTTTATTATCTTTGAGCAGAGTCTGTATGTTCTGTATGGTGTGATAAGTCAGAAAGAAACCAGACTGATGCAGAATGTCTCTTCCAAAAACAAAGAGATCTTAGATCTCTGAATAACACACTCCCAGATATGGGAAGCCAAAAAAAGTTTTTCTTTAAAGTGCATCAGTGACATGCAGACAAAAAGATCAAAGGCAGGTGGATTTTTCACAAATGAAATTAAAAGATTCTCAAACAAAAAAAAAAAAGGATAAAATACAAATCAATGACAGACGGAGGATCAGGAAAAGCTGAAGGAATGTGTTGGCCATGAAATGGCCAAGACAAACAGAACCCAAACACAGATCATCTTTAAAAAAAAAAAAAAGGACGATATCCTTGAAAAATAAAATTGAATACCTGGTTCATTTTGACATCTCCAGCAGGTGTTGGTTTCTGCAAGGTTTAGATAAAACATTTCATACTAAGCATTTGTAACAGAGAAAGGACATGCAACTTAGATCTGTTCATCACTAACACAGGACTGCATACATGAGCTGATCAGAAGTTATGTGACAGAGATCGGTCTGACAGGCTCAGCAGGAGTACGTTCATATAATTACACTTTTGGTCAAAAGTTTGCACCAACTCACCAAGAGCAACAATGTAATATTCATTTCCGCTATTTGTTATTTATTTATTCATTAATTACTGATCCTTAAAGTAGAAATTTCCTACAGGTAAGGTATGCTAAAACTCTTTAACTTTGCATTGGTGACTAAGTTTTACATAAAAAAGGAAAAACATTAGTGGACCATATTGTACGTAAAACAAGGAAACTACCTAATTTATGAACAAATATCCCCCCAGATTAAGGCCAAAAGCTTACCAATTCCAATGAAAATTTGTGAGATCTAGGTAAAACTGTTCAGAGACATTTATCCACTAATTTGTGGGGTTTTATGGATCTGTATCCTAGGGAAGAGGATTAGGGCCACTGAAAAAAAGAAAAAAGTTACATTTTATTTCAGAATAATACGAGAAAAAGGTCAGAATTCTGATTTTTTTTTCTCAGAATTCTGACTTTAATCTCAGTATTCGTACTTTAATCTCAGTATTCGTACTTTAATCTCAGAATTCATACTTTAATCTCAGTATTCGTACTTTAATCTCAGAATTCATACTTTAATCTCAGAGTTCTGACTTTAATCTCAGAGTTCTGACTTTAATCTCAGAGTTCTGACTTTAATCTCAGTATTCGTACTTTAATCTCAGTATTCGTACTTTAATCTCAGTATTCGTACTTTAATCTCAGTATTCGTACTTTAATCTCAGTATTCGTACTTTAATCTCAGTATTCGTACTTTAATCTCAGAGTTCTGACTTTAATCTCAGTATTCGTACTTTAATCTCAGAATTCATACTTTAATCTCAGTATTCGTACTTTAATCTCAGAATTCATACTTTAATCTCAGAGTTCTGACTTTAATCTCAGTATTCGTACTTTAATCTCAGTATTCGTACTTTAATCTCAGTATTCGTACTTTAATCTCAGAGTTCTGACTTTAATCTCAGAGTTCTGACTTTAATCTCAGTAATCGTACTTTAATCTCAGAATTCATACTTTAATCTCAGTATTCGTACTTTAATCTCAGAATTCATACTTTAATCTCAGAGTTCTGACTTTAATCTCAGTATTCGTACTTTAATCTCAGAATTCATACTTTAATCTCAGTATTCGTACTTTAATCTCAGAATTCATACTTTAATCTCAGAGTTCTGACTTTAATCTCAGAGTTCTGACTTTAATCTCAGAGTTCTGACTTTAATCTCAGAGTTCTGACTTTAATCTCAGAGTTCTGACTTTAATCTCAGAGTTCTGACTTTAATCTCAGAGTTCTGACTTTAATCTCAGTATTCTGACTTTAATCTCAGTATTCTGACTTTAATCTCAGTATTCGTACTTTAATCTCAGAGTTCTGACTTTAATCTCAGAGTTCTGACTTTAATCTTAGAGTTCTGACTTTAATCTCGGTATTCAGACTTTAATCTCAGTATTCGGACTTTAATCTCAGTATTCGGACTTTAATCTCAGTATTCGGACTTTAATCTCAGAGTTCTGACTTTAATCTCATTATTCGTAATTTAATCTCAGTATTCTGACTTTGATCTCAGTATTCGTAATTTAATCTCAGCCTTCGTAATTTAATCTCAACCTTCGTAATTTAATCTCGGTATTCGTAGTTTAATCTCAGTATTTGTAGTTTAGTCTCAGTATTATGACTTTAATCTCAGTATTCGTAGTTTAATCTCAGTATTCATACTTTAATCTCGTGTCATAGTTTAATCTCAGTATTCTGACTTTAATCTCAGTATTCTGACTTTAATCTCAGTATTCGTACTTTAATCTCAGAGTTCTGACTTTAATCTCAGAGTTCTGACTTTAATCTCAGAGTTCTGACTTTAATCTCAGAGTTCTGACTTTAATCTCAGTATTCAGACTTTAATCTCAGTATTCAGACTTTAATCTCAGTATTCAGACTTTAATCTCAGTATTCAGACTTTAATCTCAGTATTCGGACTTTAATCTCAGTATTCGGACTTTAATCTCAGAGTTCTGACTTTAATCTCATTATTCGTAATTTAATCTCAGTATTCGGACTTTAATCTCAGTATTCGGACTTTAATCTCAGAGTTCTGACTTTAATCTCATTATTCGTAATTTAATCTCAGTATTCTGACTTTGATCTCAGTATTTGTAGTTTAGTCTCAGCCTTCGTAATTTAATCTCAACCTTCGTAATTTAATCTCAACCTTCGTAATTTAATCTCGGTATTCGTAGTTTAATCTCAGTATTTGTAGTTTAGTCTCAGTATTTTGACTTTAATCTCAGTATTATGACTTTAATCTCAGTATTCGTAGTTTAATCTCAGTATTCGTAGTTTAATCTCGTGTCATAGTTTAATCTCAGTATTCTGACTTTAATCTCAGAAATCTGACTGAATTCTCACAGCTAACAAACATGTTAGCATCAAGCCGTAGCCATATCTGTTTTAGATACTAGCTCTCTTGTTTTAATCACCTTCTGCTCTTCCATCAATGAAATAGCATCAAAGGGGGCACGTAAAACGTTGCCTAATTCCATCATTTTCCACCATTGTGTTACTGGCCCTCTCAAACAACTCACATCTTTGTCAGTGAAGCTGAGTGCTCCCACAGCTCTTCCTTCATGGTGCCCATTTACATTAAGATCCAAAATTCTGAGAAAAAAAACTCAGAATACTAAAAAAAAAAAATCAAAATTCTGAGATTAAAGACAGTATTTTGAGGGAAAAAGGCAATATTGAACTGAAACTAACTTTTTTTTTTGTGGCCCTAATCCTAATCCTAATCCTAAACCCTAATCCTTTCTAGATCCGGAAATCCAAAATATATCTAACTTCAATTTAAGATTAATACAGCTTGGCCAATACTTGATTTTTTCAACTTCTGATTCGAAATCTACACCTAACTTATATATTTTACCAAAACAAGTGCCAAAGTTGACACATTAAACATATATAAAGAAATAAATAGCTAGTTTGAGCGTTTATTAACCTGCGTGTTGCTTCCTGTCCGATAATGGAGCTTGCTAGCTTACTGGTGTCAGCTAATGGGCTAACCTGGGTCTAAGAGCGTTCAACATTTGACGAAATAGTAAAAATTCACGCTAAACAAACAAAAAAAGTGTACACATCGTGTTAGGAGATAATTCAAATATGTAAATAATGTTACCGCGTTTTAATATCGATAACCCGGCTAGCGTTAGCAACACAGAAAAGCTGAAGTATTTTCGTGTCGACTCTAATAAGCGGCATGTAAACATGACAAGTGACTCAGCGAAAATAACCAAGAGCTGTAGGTTAAATGTTTGCCCACCACCTGTGTAAGACTGTCTGGGCTGTAATGTCAGGCTGGCCTGGCTCACAAATTCACTGAAATTCAATTCACAGTAGGGCCTTGTGCTTTTTGTAGCAACCGTGTGTTTAACATTAACTAACTTCACAACCAAGTAAACTTTATCTTTAAACGGACACGTATTAAAATTAAACTATTAAAATTGTAGTGTTGGGTCATTTGACATGGCTTTTGGGGCCTGTTTTCTTTAGAAACTCAGCTAAACAGTAAGAATCTATTGCTAAAACTGTAGCCTTGTAGTCATTAAGCTACTTCCAGCTCGGTCACTACAACGGTCCGTCAACCGGAACTAAGAAACTGACCTTCAGAATAAAAGTCCCAAGCTGATAGCACACATTAGTGCTACTAAACTTCTATAATTAAACAGAATAATCTGTATGGTTCAACAAGGTTTACTTTCCTTTTTTAACTGGTAAAGCAAGTCTCTCTGCAACATCACAAAATCACAAAAATGTAAAATGCTGCGCAATGTTTTTATTTTATTTCTAGCAGAATGCAATTTTTTGTTTTCTATGGCTGCTAAAATAATACATCCCATTAATTATGGCAGAACAATTTTTAAGAACTGCATTATAAAAGTATTCAAAATTGAGTTTCCTGTCTCCCCGTCTCACCCTACTCATGATCCTAATGTAAAAAAAAAAATAATATATATAAAAATAATATATATATATATATATATATATATATATATATATTTTAAAAAGTACAGAATTAAAGGTATCTTTTTATAAGAAAAAAGTCCAAAGCCCTTATATCAGAAAGAGGGAAGTTCTGCTTTAGTGTGCCTTACACATTTAAACAGAGCAAAAATCACTACAGCCATTTCTCTAACATCTTCTTTAAAGGATATTAAAATGTAGAAACATTACAAGTTGTTTCAAACCCTTTTAATCAGCTCTGGCCTAATCTATCTCCACAATGAAATAGACTTATCTTGTACGGAAGAGGATTAGGGCCACTGAAAAAATTTTAAATAGGTTAACTGTCTTTTTTTTCTAAGAATTCTGACTTTTCTCAGAATTCTGACTTTTTTCCCATTTTAAACTAAAATAAAATTTTAAAATCATTTAACTTTTTTTTTATTATTTCTTCGGTGGCCCTAATTCTCTTATGTAATTTTGGGAGATATATTGCACCTTAATATAATGTAAGATATATTACTAAATAAATTACTTAAAGTAAATTAAAGAGAAAAAAGCATACGTATTAAAATCCTCCTAGTGTATTTTTTATTAAATTTGCTGTAGCCTGCAACCAAAGGTCTATGAAGGACCAACTCTGCCATATTTAAAAATAAATACAGAAATAAATAAATGCTCAATAAATGTATAAGCATACAATTAATTGCCAACAAAAAAGTGAGACATAAATGTATATAACTGTTAATTAGCTTCTTTATTTATTTGCCTTTGTAATATTTACCTTATTTATTTTTCTGTCCTTTATAATCTTCAACTTTATTTTTTAATTACTTATATTTTTAAGTATTTATTTATGTGCATGTTATTATATTTTTGTCTGTTTTATTCTTCCTTTGTATTTTTTTACCTTAGTTATTTCTTCGCCGCTGTTTATTTCTCTCTGCCCTTTTTACATTTCTCTATGCCCTTTTTACATTTCTGTATGCATTTCTATCTCATTATGCAAATGAGGAGGGGGTGTGTCCTAGAGAGTCAACTTCTGCTCATTGGTTGGCTTGGCGGCCCATCTTCTTAACTCACAGAGCTCAGAGTACTAAGTTAAATGTTCTCTTTTCTGTTGCTGTTGTTCAATAAAAGTACGTTTTAAGATCATTTGAGGCGAGAACCTTATACTTTTAAGCATCACCATATGGCCCATTCACAGATTTAATGCGTAATTTAAAAGAAAATGTGACGAACTTGAGAGGACAGCGGCACCAGCGGAGCTCCGAAGCTGACGGCAGCCAGGTCCGACCACAGCCCATCTGCAGCGGCCCTCTCTCGGCATAGCCGTGTGTGAAGCATGTTGGTTAGCATTTTACTACATCGGTCGAATCTACAGGAGGAGAGTCTGATGTCGAGTCTGAAGTCATTAGAACTTGAGTAGGGACTTTGCCAAACTTTGCCAAATACAACAAAAAATCGCCATCATAGCCTGGCTATAGACCTGGCTGCCGTCAGCTTCGGAGCTCCGCTGGTTGCCACGGTCCTCTCAAGTTCGTCACATTTTCTTTTAAATTACGCATTAAATCTGTGAATGGGTCATATGGTGATGCTTAAAAGTATAAGGTTCTCGCCTCAAATTATCTTAAAACGTACTTTTATTGAACAACAGCAACAGAAAAGAGAACATTTAACTCAGTACTCTGAGCTCTGTGAGTTAAGAAGATGGGCCGCCAAGCCAACCAATGAGCAGAAGTTGACTCTCTAGGACACACCCCCTCCTCATTTGCATAATGAGATAGAAATGCATAGAGAAATGTAAAAAGGCAGAGAGAAATAAACAGCGGCGAAGAAATAACTAAGGTAAAAAAATACAAAGGAAGAATAAAACAGACAAAAATATAATAACATGCACATAAATAAATACTTAAAAATATAAGTAATAAAAAAATAAAGTTGAAGATTATAAAGGACAGAAAAATAAATAAGGTAAATATTACAAAGGCAAATAAATAAAGAAGCTAATTAACAGTTATATACATTTATGTCTCACTTTTTTGTTGGCAATTAATTGTATGCTTATACATTTATTGAGCATTTATTTATTTCTGTATTTATTTTTAAATATGGCAGAGTTGGTCCTTCATAAAGGTCAAGTGGTTTCCAAACAAAACTTATTGTATACCCACTTTATTCTGAAAAATTCTAACCGGAAACAGAATGCGTGTCGGGCCAACTTGACCATGTTTTCTTTTTTTAGCTTCAGGGAAGCAACAAGCTATATGTTTCAAATCGGGATACCTCCGCCGCAGGTCGTAATAGATCGAGAGGGAAGCCGTCAGCTCCTACCTTGCATGCTGCTGCTCTGAGTCTGTTGGTGAAGGTGGTGCGACGTGGCCCCCAGAAAGTTGCTGGAGCCCGTGGAGTTGCTATTCGGACTGGGAGTCGCCATTGTTGTGTTGCCAGCAGCAGCAAGCGCTCGGGCTGCAATGCAGAGTGAAACTTGGCCCTCCCCTGCCTGCCTTTCCTTCCAACGGGACACTGCGTCACCTGAACGCAGCACAGCTGCTTTACCGCCTGCTCTGCGCCGCTGCTGCCTTTACGGACAGCCGAAAAAAACAGTTTAACAAATGTTCAAAAATGGTCACATTCAATAAAACAAAATTATTTCAGCTTAATATATGAATTTACAGTTTAGTGTATAGCCTAATATTTAAAAGTTTCACTACCTCTGTACCTTCTGGTTTATTGTACAAAATAAAATTAAAAAAAACAAACACTTGGTTCTCACAAATTTCTCATACAGTGTTTTTCTCAAAGTTGAATTATCAGCATCTCAGCAGATTGTGCAAGTTGAATCATGGTGTCTAAAAGTCAAGAATAGACTTGCATAGTTTATCAGACAGACCTTATCAGGTTTTACAGTCTCGGTGAACTGTAATAAGACAGCTACAAAACAACATCCATAATTCCCTCACAATCCAAACTTTGTCAGATACATCAGTGTCTGATGAACAATTCATTTTGCCACTTATGGTTCTGGATGAACTATAAAAAATTTTGTACCAAAGAAAAATCTACTGCTTTACAAAATATGTTCAGATAAAACTTAGACATTTGTTTTCCTTTTTTATACAGATAGTGTATGCATTTCCATTTCTCAAAGTGCAGCAATGATCAAATGTAAACATCATGGGAGAAAAAAACATGGGGCAAAAAAATGCATTGATGTGGTCAGTTTGATGCAGAGTTTGTGACATGATTTAGAGTTTTCTCAATGGTTCCGCAGTCTGATGGCAGTGGGGAAGAAGCTGTTGCAGAACCTGCTGGTCCTGCATTGAATGCTGCAAAGCCTCTTCCCAGAGGGTAGCAGGGAGAACAGGCCATTGCTGGGGGTGTTAAAGGTTTAATAATGACACGCAGCTCTGGAATGAAATGTCTTTATTGGAGGGAAGAGGAGCCCCGATGATCCTCCCTGCTGTTCTTACCACTCTTCTCAGTCTGCGGCGCTGCAGCCTCTTCATTATACAGTGAGACAGTTGGTCTCACTGGTCGCTCACCATGGTGCTTCTTTATACAACACAACTTATGGGCTGACTGTGTTACATATTTATAATAACGAGAAAACATAGTGATGCAGACATTAAAGTACTAAACCCCATCACTTAGGAAAGTCTCCACATCCATTTATTCTGGAATGTAACAAAAAAAATCTTCATCTCCTTGGATGAAATTGGTAAATACAGAAACATACTCAAGGTTTATACAGGAATTAGTAACTCTAATTTAATGCTCTTTTATTGCTCTTAGAAATTAATTTTAATGCCATCAACAAATACCCATGACTCTCATCCACATATATATATATATATATATACACCGGTATATAAAACACAGCAAAATCTTTTGTCATATATACCATTGACAGGCTGCATCTATGTTCCAAATTCCTCGTTTTCCAGCCACTTTTGGAAATTTGCATTTTCCCATTCTCTAGCTTTTTCTCCACCTCAAGCTTCTTTTCCGAACATACGGCTTTACGATCAACAGGAAGTAGTTCCATGCATACACACAGAACCAGTTATATATGATGTAATATATCTGCTCAGGACCCAGAGTGAAGGCTGTGGGGGTCAAACCGGGTACTTGCAACCTTCCCAGAGCCCAAGCTCGCTGCTCTAACCACTAGGTCACACTCCCCACTAATTAACTCATTCATTTAGCAATATTTGTTTTGATTAGTAGTTTAATTTAGAAAAAAAATGTCACAAACACCAATGAATGTCTTGCACGAAAAACAGATATTTATTGCAAATTTTAAATGCATTGTTAATGACAGAAACTTGCAAAACAAAATCTCTCTCAATTCAACTCAATACCATTAACGTACAGTTCACTGGTCGGTTAATCTGTTGACACATTTTTCAATCAATAAACTCTCAATCTTACAGCAGTTTTTTTCTTTTTACTATTTTTTTTTTTTTTTAACCAGGAGAGGCCATACCAGACACCAAGTGGGGGATCGCAAGCTGGTTTTCACAATTATGGTGATGTAATGCCTATTTGGTATATAAACGCTTCTTTAAATATCAATTACAATGTAAAATAAACCATTAAATAGTTAAATGTCCCAATGAAAATAAAAAAATGCTGAAAAAAATGTCCTTTTTCAAAGAAAAAATATATTTCAACCTAAAAAAGAAATACTTCATATTAATAACAAATTTACGTAATTATATGTGTGTTTAGGGGATTAACAGTCCTTTAATTTGGGATTTTTGGGGTCACGAAGTGAAATGTTTGTAACCTTTGAGGAGCTTTTCCTAGGATATATTTACAGACCTAATTTTTTTTTTAATCTTAAATACATATAGTATTCACATTTTGTAGAATTTCAGCTCAATCACTCCTCTAAGCTACTAATTCTGTATATTAAAGGTTATATAATCTTGACTCCCGTTAACAAATATTTAAATGCTACATTAGTTGATGTTTTCAAACAATGATCAATCAGTTCAATTCAGTTTTAGCCCTCTAGAAGAGTTGTGAATACAAATAAATTAAAGTGCATGGAAATCTCCCACATGACCTGAATGCATCATCATTCAACTGGACACTTGCTAAAAAAAGTGCATACAGCAAACTTTATATTAAGGCTTTAATTAGTGCCTTTTCAAGGGTAAATTATAAGAGATTTGAATTCAAGTCCAAAAAGGGCAATTTATTCTAAATTATTCATCTTAAAGAGTTAAAATGCAGAATAAGACCGTTGGGATAAAAGCAAACAGTTTCAATCGTCGTAGAAACTTTCATTGCTTTGAACTTTTTTTTATAAATAAATATACACATTTAATTTTAACTTAATTTATAATTATTTAAATTTTAAAAATTCTGAAATTATTATGATAAAAATAATAACTGTAACCACCTTTAGGCGGTGGAGCAGCAGCAGCACATTGTTAATGAACATGTTGTCATCTTCAGTGCGTTTCAATACATTTCTCCCAATAAAGTGACGCGGAAAACGTGCAGAATCTTTCGAAACGGTTTATCTCATCATGTGACCACTGCCTTTTTTCACACGGAGTCACGGTGCTATCAGGAAAACAAGAACACCTGATCCGCGATCCTGCCGCTCCCCGTCAGCACCATCCTGTCTGTGTAGACGGAGACGATGGCGTATGCGTCGCTGTCGGGAGGCGTTTCAATCACCCCGTCCACCGTTAGGTGGTGAACGCCGGTGTCTTTATCCAGGCAGTAGCCGCCGTCGTGGGCGTGGCCAGCCATGTAACACACCACGCTGCTGTGGGAGCGAAGAACAGCCAGGAGGTCATCGTAGTTCCACGCCAGACATACGGCATCGGTGGAGTCGGGGTGGATCGGAAGGTGACCTTTAAACGGAAAATAAACCTGTTAGCTCCTGCAGCTTGATTCTGTCAGCTTTTTCAGACTCATTAAATAAAAAAAAGTGGCAGCAGTTGGAGTTCTGGTACTAGGATTAGATCCCCTTTACAGCTATAACCCTCAGTGGAAATATATAACCCCAGGATAACACTGCCACCACTGTGTATCACACTAAGGTTTCTCCAGAAATAGCACTTTGATTTCGGGACAGATGGACCCAGTATTCAAGGTGAGACAGTCAGTGAGAAAGTTCAAAACATCTTTAAAACAAAAACGAATAGACAGAACTGAATCCCGGGGCGACTGCAGGGGTGGGACGCAACCCGTCACTGAGCCTGGTTTAACAGTTCAGTCCATTCTGTGCGTGGAAGGCAGGATCCATCTGATGGACTAGAAATATCCTGTCCAGAGGTCATGCAGAGAAACTAGTCCATGCATTTGTTCATCAATCTGCTTCATTCTATCTCTATTCTCTCACTCTGCAGAATCTGTTAGTTTAATCTCTAACGTTCTGCTCTCTCTGCTTTTTCTCATAGTAGCTTCGTCTGTTCCTGTTTGGCTGTGAATCCATCCTGGAGAGAAATATCAGCTGTGCTGCTGTCATCAACACCTTTGTTTATAGACGTTGGAGATCGGCCTGTTTTTCCAGTGTAGTCCTGTCTCTCTGACTGTGACTGAGTGGATGAGCTCTCTTCGTCCTCTGGCATGGGAGCTGGCTCAGAGCTCGTCTGCCTGGCTGTGTGTTTCCTGGACGGGGCCGCCTTTTACAGCTGCTTTTTCTATCTCTGCTCCTGTCTCCTTGAACCCCAGTCGGCTTCAGCAGATGGCCCCGCACATTGAGCCTGGTTCTGCTGGAGGTTTCTTCCTGTTAAAAGGGAGTTTTTCCTCTCCACTGTCGCTACAAGCATGCTTAGTGTGAGGGATTGCCTTCGAGTCAATGAGTCGAAGCAATCAACTGGTTTTCCTTAGATAGAAAACTTTGAATCAGTCTGACATGTGTTGTGAATTGGCGCTATAGAAATAAACTGAATTGAATTGAAACTTGAATTAAAGCAGACAAACAATATGGCAGAGCTGAAAAAGGTGCAGATATCAACGGCGTAGCTTGTCAGAGGCGTGCTCCATAGGACAAAAGGCATGTGCACAGTCTAGAAACAGGTTTTCACTTACTGACAATAATGACTCTTTCCTTCTTTTCATCGGCCACAGACAGAACAGACTCCAGCCAGTCAAGCTGATCCTGACTGAACCCGCCGTTGAACATCGTGAAGCGACTGAGATGCTTCAACTCTGCAACGAGAAAAGCAAAACTCACAGAGACGGGAACTAATATAAGGTTGTCATAATTACGTTCGTGCAGCTCCTTCTAATATGTTAATAAAAACCCACTTTTAACCCAAAGTTTCTGCAGAGAATCTTGTTAATAACCTCGTTATAAATCCAGTTGTTCCGTGAACATTTAGACGTTTCTTTGAGAAGCATCATTAAGACCAAGCGACAGCATATCAGGGAGAAAGCTGTGGAGCAGTTTGAAGCAGATTAAAGTTATGCACTAATAAGCAACCTTTTAAAATGCCACTGAGCTCTGTTCAAACCTGAAAGGCCAACTTCAATAGAGAGAGAACATATTTGAGACAAACAAGCTGCTATCCATCCGACCTGACAGAGCTTGATTTTGCAAAGAAGCATTTCCAGCTCTAGATTTGTAAAGCTGATAGAGGCACACCTTAAAAAAAAAGCCTTGCAGCTGTAATCTTAGGCAGGTTGAGCACAACAACTGATCTTTTATCTTCCACTAAATAAAATCTAAAACGTTAACTGTAATTTGACACTATATGAACATTTCTGAGGTTTCAATAGTTTTAAGAGGATAGATATTACTCTCTTAGCAAAAATAAATGATCAGCGCTGGGATCTGTATGAGTGTTTAATGTGAAATGATCCAACATAACGTATTTAGGCTATAAACTCCATATACATTAATATGTAGGCGCCCTATTGGACGCTGCCAGAGATAAGTCATAGTTAAGGCAGATTTTCTACGGGTAAACTGTCCATCTATTTACAAAGGTTTTAACGGCGTTATCACTCCCGGAAGAACGATCCGTCCTGCGCATGCACCAACAGATATACATCCGGGTGTCCATACATAATGTAATTATGGTACTAAAACTACTTATTTCTATCCTTGACTCACTAAAGAATACTAATACACATCTTTAACAAATGCTTTATGACTTCTGTGAGACAATTTTTATGCTTTTTTACATTTTCTTCATTAAACTGCTTCTCTAACGTCATCATCATTAGAGCAGTCCGGCAAAATATGGTTAAACTATGTTTATCTGCATTTTTGTTGTTTCTTTCTTTAGATTATGCACTATATAGCATAAGGTTAAAACGAAAAACATAAAACTTAAAAACACTATATTTATGTTTAAATCCAAATCCGAAAAAGTTAGCTCCCGGAAGTAGCGTAGGATCCCATTTCCGGTGATGATCGGGCAGAGACGAGTGATAAAACAGAAAGGATTTTAAGGCATTTATTTTCTCAGGAAACACATTGTTAACCTTTAACACATTATACTTTTTGGGGAGGGAAAAACGGGTCGCCCTTGATTTTATTTTGTTTAAAAGACCTAAATGACATTTTCCGATCTCCAAAAATTTTTTAAATTTTAATGTAAATTTTTTTGTTATTGTTATCTTGTTTAGATTTTTTTAGTCAAATCGTAGTGAATGGTAAATTTATGTTGTGTCTAACTAAGTGTTTTTGTGCTGATAAGTTATTCTTCTTCTTCCAAAACGGAGATCTGAAATTTATTTTTATTTCAGATATCTTAAAGTAATGGCCCGATACACAAGAATGGGGAAAAGTGATGTCATTTATACTAGTAAGAATTATATTTAGATATCTGAAATGTTTATTTTAGATAGGAAGGATACTATTACATTTATGAAATACATATCCGTTCAAGTAAATATATGTTAAAACGGCCACTTAATATAAGTAAATATTTGTAGATATCTAAAATTTAGTTCTTACTAGTAAAAATGTGATTCTTGAGTACTTACAAATGCATTTCTACTGGTAGAAATATAATTAGTGATATCTTAAATACAATACTGATAAGGAATATTGTTATTGTGCCGAGGTAAAATGCTTTAGTGCTATCTATGATAGAAATATGACTAGTCAGCCTGCTTACTCTATGTTAAAACGGAGCCCCATTATTTATTTAGAAGTTTCTAAAACTGCATTATGGATAGACATTGGAATTCAGATATCTGGAATCCTTATTTAACTAGTCATAAAATAAGTAGTGGATATCTGTAATGACATTTCTACAAGCAGAAATAGATTTTTGAGGTGAAGAATTGGATTTGTAGAATGCTTATTCATTTTTTATATCTGAAATTGTCCTTATTACTAGCCTTAACTATATTATGGAGAGGTGATATTACAGTCCATCCTCGTCAGAATTCAGTTTTAGATAGGAAGAATGTAATTGTAGATATCTGTAAGTAAAAGCCCAATACACATGAATGGGAAACGTGACCTCATTTGTACTAGTAGGAATTACATTTAATATATATGAAATATTGATTTTAGTTAGGAAGAATGTTATTTCAGATATCAAAGATGTTAATTATGACTAGGGAGAAATCCATTTGAAACATCTGGATTCAGTCAACTAATAAATGTCAAAACAGCCTGCCATACACAATGACAAGGGATCTATTGATGTCTTTGGACAAAAGTTAAATGTTTCTTATTTTCCACAATGTCTAGAAAACTTGTTTCCATCACAGCTGGTTCCAAACAGTGCATGTTATAATTGACCACTATAATTATATAGCCACACAATTGTAGTTAACTATAGAAAAAGAAATTTTAGAATAATTCCATACATCAAAAGGTTAAGTTATAATGGTTGAAGAGACTAATAGATCTGGTCTCTTTTAGAAACTCTTGTCACAATAGTATTGTTTTAGTATTACAGAGCAAAAAAAGATCGAAATAAATAAAAGTGTTCTTAAAATAAGCGTACTTGCTCTTAATTCAAACAAATAAAACGTTTTTTGTTTTTTTTTCATTTTACAATTAGCTATGAGGCACTTAGTACTCAGGGTTGATATTTTTCTTCTTCTTCTTTTAAATGTAAATCATTAAATTCCATCCAAGGGACAAAACATTTGATTCGAGAAAAAAAAATTTTTTTTTGCAGTGTATGTTCTTGGGGCCATAACAGGGGCCAGGACCTGCTCTACAGGGGTGCTGGCCCCTGCTGGTCCCTGTCTAGAATCGTTCTGTCAAAAATGTCAACAATAACTAATAAAAGGTTTGCGGCTTTTAGTGAAAGAGCCTTTACAATCACAGCAGCTCAGGAGTGGAACTCTGTCCCTCAGAACATCAGAGAACCAACAACATGAACACTTTTCCAAAGCAGCTAAAAAACTGCTTCATAACACATCAGTCATATCAGCATTAATTGATTGTCTTCCATTAACAGACCAAGCTGCCACTTGTGTCTCTGCGGTGTGTGTATATATATATATATATATATATATATATATATATATATATATATATATATATATATATATATATATATATATATTTTTTTTTTTTTTTTATTTTATTTTTTTTTTTTTTTCCCAAGGCTGCACTTTTAAAGAAGCTGAAATTATCCGGAGAGCTGTTCCAAACGAAATTTCCTTTGACAAATGACAAATAAATCTGTCTAAGTCTAAGTATATATATATATACAGGTGCTGGTCATAAAATTAGAATATCATGAAAAAGTAGATTGATTTCAGTAATTCCATTTAAAAAGTGAAACTTGTATATTATATTCATACATTACATACAAACTCATATATTTCAGATGTTTATTTTGTTTAATTTTGATGATTACAAATGACAACAAATGAAAATCTCAAATTCATCATATCAGAAAATTAGAATATTACTGAAGACCAATAAAAACAAAGGATTTATAGAAATGTTGGCCAACTGAAAAGTATGAAAATGAAAAGTATGCGCATGTACAGCACTCAGTATTTAGTTGGGCCTCCTTTGGCCTGTATTACTGCAGCAATGCGGCGTGGCATGGAGTCGATCAGTCTGTGGCACTGCTCAGGTGTTATGATAGCCCAGGTTGCTCTAATAGTGGCTTTTAGCTCTTCTGAATTGTTGGGTCTGGTGTATTGCATCTTCTTCTTCACAATACCCCATAGATTTTCTATGGGGTTAAGGTCAGGAGAGTTTGCTGGCCAATTAAGAACAGGGATACCATGGTCCTTCAACCAGGTACTGGTAGCTTTGGCACTGTGTGCAGGTGCCAAGTCCTGTTGGAAAATGAAATCTGCATCTCCAAAAAGTTGGTCAGCTGCAGGAAGCATGAAGTGCTCTAAAACTTCCTGGTATGTGGCTGCGTTGACCCTGGACCTCAGAAAACACAATGGACCAACACCAGCAGATGACATGGCACCCCAAACCATCACTGACTGTGGAAACTTTACACTGGACTTCAAGCAACGTGGATGAAGTGCCTCTCTTCTTTTCCTCCAGACTCTGGGACCTTGATTTCCAAAGGAAATGCAAAATTTACTTTCATCAGAGAACATGACTTTGGACCACTCACCAGCAGTCCAGTCCTGTTTCTCTTTAGACGCTTCTGACGCTGTCTGTGGTTCAAGAGTGGCTTGACACAAGGAATGCGACAGCAGAAACCCATGTCTTTCATACGTCTGTGTGTGGTGGTTCTTGAAGCACTCACTCCAGCTGCAGTCCACTCTTTGTGAATCTCCCCCACATTTTTGAATGGGTTTTGTTTCACAATCCTCTCCAGGGTGCGGTTATCTCTCTTGCTTGTACACTTTTTTCGACCACATCTTTTCCTTCCCTTCGCCTCTCTATTAATGTGCTTGGACACTGAGCTCTGTGAACAGCCAGCCTCTTTAGCGATGACCTTTTGTGTCTTGCCCTCCTTGTGCAAGGTGTCGATGGTCGTCTTTTGGACAACTGTCAAGTCAGCAGTCTTCCCCATGATTGTGTAGCCTATAGAACTAGACTGAAAGACCATTTAAAGGCTTTTGCAGGTGGTTTGAGTTAATTAGCTGATTAGAGTGTGGCACCAGGGGCCATCAATTTTGAACCTTTTCACAATATTCTAATTTTCTGATATGATGAATTTGAGATTTTCATTTGTTGTCATTTGTAATCATCAAAATTAAACAAAATAAACATCTGAAATATATGAGTTTGTATGTAATGTATGAATATAATATACAAGTTTCACTTTTTAAATGGAATTACTGAAATCAATCTACTTTTTCATGATATTCTAATTTTATGACCAGCACCTGTATATATATATATATATATATAATTTTATTTTTTTTTCTTATACAAAAAATAAATCTAAAAAGGCTTTTTATTGCCATTAGAGTATTTTCGCAGTAATACCTGGAGGACAGTTGAGGTCCTGGTTTTTGTTGTGCAGCTTAATGAGGTCCATGGCTGCATTATAGTGCAGACTGGAGCCCTGTCTGCCCAGCAGGCTCACATCATAGGAATCCAGGAGCACAAACCTGAACCCAGGGAAGGGGCTGAACTGGTAGGCGTAGATGTCCTCCCGGACCGGGCTTCCTGTCGGGCTCCGCTCCGCGTAGGAGCTGCTGTCCAGCGGGGACTTCATCAGTTCGCTCCTGCTGAAGTTATAGAACTCATGGTTTCCCCACACGTGATGCACCTTGGCGGGGAAGGAGGCGAACTCCCGCAGCACCGCGTCCAGCGCCGCCTGCGAGGCGCCCCGCGGTTTGTTGAAGCCGTCTATCAGGTCACCGAGCTGGAGGACGAAGTCAGGCTTAACCGCCGATAAGGACCAGCCGCTCAGAGCGTTCCTCAGCAGCTGCAGGCTGCTCCGGTAGTAGCGCCTCCTCGTGCGGGAGAAGTTAAATCCATCGTCAATGTCCGCGTACTGAACGTCAGTTATCACCCCGAATGTGAAGAGCGGCGGCGGACTGAGCTCCATCGCTGAGTTTGGTTTCCACTGAGCGGAAAGGAGGAACCGTTTCCACCGAGGGACAGAAAACACCAACCTGGGAACTACCGTCTTTATTACCGTTTACATTCCGTCCTGTTACCGAATCATTGGCGTGTTATGACAGCTTTAGTAACACCGAACCGGAAACAGTAATACTACTTCCGGTAGACATATCCTTCAAAATAAAAGCAGGGAAATTTAACCGTGGTGAAATCAGAAAAGAAAAGCTGGTTTATTATGCACTGTTTAGAAAATAGGAAAGTAGATATGTAAATTTCTTTTTTTATTATTGTTATTATTGTTTTGTTTTTTTGTCAGACAGATACAGAAGAGCTTTTTCTTTTTTTGTGTCTTCCCTACACAAATAATCACAAAACAAGACGATAATAACAACAGTAATATAAAAAAAGAAAAAAGCAGTCCAGCAACAATGTAAATAACAGGCCAGACCTACAACATATAACATAAATCACAAAAAAACACTAAAACACCCTAAAAAGTCTATTATAGCAAGCCTGTTCCTGTATCTAATAAAATATAAGTACCGTAGAAGGAAACATCCTTACATGTCCAGCTAGTAATGGGCCCCACACCTCATTAAATATGTCTTTCCCCCAGCCACCCTATAGGGGCCCGTTCATAGCTGGCTATTGAACTTAGAACCTGTATCCACTCCTTAAACGTGGACCGGTGGGAGATTTCCAGTGGCGTTAAGTTATCCTGCACCCTGTTGTCACAGCTAAACAGAACAAAGATTTCTGATGTTTTCACATTTCAATGTTATCTGGATGTAATAATGATAAACATAATGCAGGGTTTTTGACCAAATGTGAGATTTGGAAGCTAACTTGGGTGTATTACTTGAAAATGAAAGGTTATGCAGGAGATTTTTTTTTTGTCATTTGCCTGTTTTACCAATTTTAACTTTGCAATTTTCTGTGAAATATATGGACAATTGTCAGTTTCTAAGAGAAAACAGACAAGTTAACATACAGTAAAGCAAACTAAACTAGTGGTGCACAACTTTTTTTTTTTTGGGATTGTCGGATTGATACTCAACGCTGCACACACACCTGCAGAGGCAACTGGTTTAAGTAATTTAAGAAAAGAAAACTATAGATATATATGTTAGGTTTATTATTTATGTGCTTTGTTTCTTTGTTAGCCAGATAGATAGAGTAGAAGACCTTCCTTCACATGGTGGATGTCACTGTGTGTATGGAGGCCATCTAATCAGGACAGCCTTCGTGTCTTTAAAAATAAACAGGATATGGACACATCTTGGAGCCGGACAGTTTTGTAGAATTAATGTTCTCCATGGTTTAGAAGGAGGATGGAAGATATCTTTGAGAGCTTATTACCGTTGGTTATTTAGAATATTGTTATAAAAGGTTTATTACTCCTTGTTTCCAATGATATGACTAAATTAAATATTTGTTGATTCTTTGTCATTATTTAAATGTGAAAAATGTCTGCGGTTAAGGTATATGGATTTTTAAAATATTTCGAATGCCTATTTTCCTTTCTTGGTGGAGTTTTTGTGGATTTTTATGTGTAAGTGCCAATTAGTTTTTGTTAATAATTAACAAAGTTTCTTGTATTTGTGCATAATCTAGCTCAGTTTATTTGATTTTATTGTTTGATATCTGTTATGAGATTATGTTTTTTGGTTATTTAGTCAGTTTCCTTTGTTTTTGGTTATTTATTATTAATTTGGGTGAATAGGTAAGTAAATAGGCAGTCAATGGTAGGACCAGCATGCAAATTACTTGATCATTTCTAATAATTTGGCTTTGGACTTTTCTATGTTTTTAAAAACTAACAATGCATCAGCTGCAAATAATGCATAACGGTGTTGTTGATGCCCAGTTGTTATGCCTGTTTCATTCTAGTGAGTTCTTATGGTTATTGCTAATGGTTAAATAGCTTTAATAAACAGCAAATGAGGAAAAGCATCCCCTTAACTGGATCCTTTTTTATTTTGATATATTTTTTTTTAGAAATATTACAATCACTCTAAACTTGACTATGATAGAAATTTCCATTTGATAAAATATTCACCAAAACCACAACACTTAAAAACCTCAAACAGAAATAAATGCTCCACTCTGTAAATGTCTTATTCAGCATCTGATGACAGTAGAACCACTGAATCCATGTCCTGTTTTTATATTCATCATATTTAGAAGTCTAACATTATGAAAATTTATAAACTGTTTGTCTTTAAGGATACAATTTGTTAATTTGATAGAGAATACAATAATATTTTATACCACACTTTAAATTGGGGTTGCTGTCAGTAGATAAAAAAAATAAATGAGTTTGTTTTTAGTACTTTGTGAACTAAGCTGATTTCATGTATTTTATGATGGATGTGTTTCAAATAAGGAGACTGGATTTAGTTCAATATAAAAAAATAAAAGAATGCTGCCATCTACTGGCCACTCAGCATTACTACATAAACTCCAAGACAAAAAGCTCAGACTTTTTATTTGACTGACTGAGCTTTCAAGGTACTTCACTGCTCCTGGATTCAAAGGAAAAACCAAGAGAGAATTTTAGAACTAAGGCTAACACAGCATTTCTTTTACAAGAGACATAAAAGAAGGATTCAAATTAATTCCCATTATCAACTAAAAAAATCAAAGAAGTTTAAAAACCTAATTGCAAACTCTAATATACACCAACAAGGGAAGGATTTTTAATGCAATTTAAAGTAAAATAAAAATTGAATGACATAGAAGTTGTTAGATCAGGTCAAGTGATTATTTAGAAACATTTTTTATTTAACTTCCACTAATGTATTAATATGAGCGGAGCTTCATTCCCAAGGACCTCATGGAAATCTGGTCTGTTTTTAGTGATTTATTTGGAAAATAAGATGTTTGAATTCATGTTCTTGTTTATTGTGATCAGCAGAGATTTACTTTTAAATGTTTTTGACATCTATTAATTTTCATCCTCCCCTCTGTGCAAACCTATACATTTTTTCTGGAATGGCCACTGATGAACAACGACCCCCAACCTGTTTAGTATGGTTTGTTACAGAGTGCAATTAGAGTTTGATTTTGGCTCCACTAACTTGAGTTGTTTTATGCTTTCCTGTCCTTTTTATAGAGCTAACTGGCCGCCTCTAACAACATTTTCTGGAACTGCCACTGATGAAAAACAACCACAAACTTTATAGACCTAATTTGTTCAGATGCTGCAAGATGACCAGAACAATTGTTCTGTTTACATGAGAAACAATAATAACCACAAATATGCTAAAGAGCTGCACTATAGTAATATTAAAACTCTTGCTCAAGTTTACTTCAGTTTGTTTATTTATAAAGAACCAATTTAAAACCACTTATTTCAAGAAAAATTTACAAAAATCAAACCTTTATTATAGTAATAATAAATAACAGATGAAGATAGAATGACAGGAATCCTTTAACAGAACCAGACCCAGTAGGCAGGATTTGATATAATTCAATTTAAAAAAAATAAAAACAAGTCACAGCTAATATGATATCAAGGCAATTTACATGAGAGCTTTAAAACAGAAACATGTAACAGAATTCAACACAAACACAGAATGAAATTCAACAATAAACATCAAGTTAGATCCTATTTACAGCATAATGAAGACAAATTCAGTGTATTATGGCGAAACATATTCAATCCAGGGAAGCTCAGCCAATCTTCCATCAGTCCCTCCTCCTGAGCAATGAAGTGGTGACAGTAGAGAGGAAAACTAGCTTTAAGCAGGAAGGATCCTCCAACAGAACCCGGCTCCATGTCAGCGCCCATCTACTGCAGCCGAGCGAGTCTTTAACAGGACAGCAGACGTCCAACAGACACAGAGGAGCCGGTCCAAGGAGCAGCTGACCATCTCTGAAAAAGAAGAACAGGAGTTAGTGAGAGAACACGCTGGTCTGTGACATTTAACACAGAAACACTGGGAGAGGTGGAACTTTAACCAAGAGAAGAGGAAAACACACAGGGAGAAGCTAAAGCTAACAGCAGTGATAACTGTAGACAATGGATGCTTGGAGAAAATGCCTGAAAACGCTGCATTTGTTGGAGTCTACAGTCGGTTTCATCAGGGTCGTTTCTCTGCTTTAATAAGTTCTAAAAACCCTTCAGAGATCAACCAGGGGAAATTCTCCCATATTGGATTAGAAGCTGCTTCTGAACTGTTTATCTGTGGTCTAATGGAAAAGTCAGAACTTCTGGTTCTGGTAAAGTTTTGGTAAAAGAGATGAAAATTTAGATGAACATCCATTCATGATGGAAAGATAAGGATTAAAGGTTAGACCACCTTGATGGGATGGTTTTGGCTTTTGAATCTATTTGTTCTGGATCTGTTTTTATTGTCATCACCAATACTGATGAACATCTGGAAGCAATAAAGGTTCTTTACCTTCTTTCTGGGTGGAGCAGACTGATGGTTTAGCTGCGGGGTCGTCGACGTTTTTCATTCCAGGACTCCAGAATGTTGGAGAGACGAGCAGAGGAGCCATGTTTCTCCTCCTTGGTGGTCTGTGTTCTCCATCCTCTGCTTGAGCTCCTTCATCAATGAAAGCAAAGCGTCCTCAGAGTCTGAAACTGTCTGCATGTGATTCCTCTCTAGTCTAACAACCAACATACCTTCAAACACATGTGGATGGAGTCTGTTCCATGGAGATCCGACTGTTAGAACGCTGCTTCCATATTGAACCTGCTTTCCCTGTAAAAAAAAAAAAAAGAGGCTAAATTAATCTACAGAATTTCCTCGACACAAATTTTAAAGTTGAGTTTTCTGTTGTCGTGTTAATAAAGGCTTACTCCAGGTGTTTTCCTCTGTGTCGTCCTCAGGTGGGGACTAGGAGGCTCCTCAGCATCCTGGAGGTCCCGGTTCCTCACAGGAGTTCTGCTTTTGGACGTCCACAGAGTCTGAAGATAAATGAAAAACTAAGTGAGGCCACCTGAAATGTTGACTTTATATTTAAATGATGGATCATTGTTGCTCCTTACTGAACATGCTCTCACTGTTTACTGCTCCTCTGGTTTGGTCGCCGTAGATCTCATCAGCATCTTCTGACAGCCCAAAGCTTGTAGCGGCTCGGTCCGACATGGGATTCAGAAAACACAGAAGAGATCCACTGTGGTCAGAACTGGCCTAGATCATATGGAGAGTATGTCTGCAGAGGGTTCTTTCACCAACTGACCAGAGGAACATCTAGAACTAGATCAACTCACAGCTGAAAGCGGGTTCTAACAATCGGCGTCACTCACAACCCGCATCCTTACATCAGTCCTGTCCTCTGCCTCAAACTGCTCTGAAATCAACTAGTCCCTCCAAGCATCGTCTTTACCTTCTCACCATCATCCCAGAGAACAGTTCAACTGATGACCTTAACAAGCTGTGTCACTGTTCTATTCTAGATCCAGTTGGTCTCCAGCAGCATTAAGTTTTCCTCATCTCCACTTTTAGAACTTTAGATTCTTAGTTTGCCTTCCTGTGTTTTTGTCCTCAGCAGCGATGTCTCACTCCTTAGAGGTTTTGATGTGTCCCCAGCAGCGATGTCTCACTCCTTAGAGGTTTTGATGTGTCCCCAGCAGCGATGTCTCACTCCTTAGAGGTTTTGATGTGTCCCCAGCAGCGATGTCTCACTCCTTAGAGGTTTTGATGTGTCCTCAGCAGCGATGTCTCACTCCTTAGAGGTTTTGATGTGTCCCCAGCAGCGATGTCCAGCTGTTGCCTCAGTTTGATTTGCCTCCTTGTGCTTCGCCTGTTTTCAACCAGGATTTATGTTTTTGTCCTTTTCTTTATGTTTTCCATTTGCCTCCATTCTGTTTTAGTTCTTGTAAAACCTTGTTCTTAAATCAACCCTTGGATTGTTTGGTTTGCCTTCTGTTACCTAGGAGATGGTCCAGCTCTGTCATTAGACGTAGAGCATGTTAGATTATTTCTGCTTTAACCAGCTCTCATGTTTCACAGCTTTTATAAATTGTAGCACGTCTCCAGTCTCTGCTCTGATGTCTGTGCTTAAGGAAAATTCTTAAGATCTAAAACTTAAATTAACATCTAGCAGCAGGGTAAAGAAAAGCCACGGTGCTAGATGCTACCTGAGATATCCATAGACCTGCCAGATATAAAACCAATCAATAAATAACATCTACATGTGATCTTTCACCCTTTCCACCTCCAATCAACCTCAAATCACCAAGAATATACATCTAACTCCTTCTGCAAGATGATCCAAAGCAAGATGGTAAAATGTTTGGTTCTTCTGCTTAAGCTTTAGCTTCTCTTCATTTTGAGAAGCTGCTGAAGGAGTTAAAGGAAGATTCTTGATGAAATTCCTATTCCCTCCCACGACCAAACATCTTCGCAGGGGGCTCCTCTTCATCTTCGTCTTCCTCTCTTGTCCTCCTCCTGGAGACAGAGCCGGTCCCTGGAAGTTGGTGGTCTTCTTCGCCCTGTGGTGGAAGGTGGTCATCGTCGTCTTCATCGTCATTGTCTTCGTCGTCCTCGTCTTCATCATCTTCGTCGTCATCGTCTTCTGTCTCAGAGCTATCGCAGAGACCATACATGGAGCCTTCACTAGACCCATCAAGAGACTCACCATTAAAAGGCCAACCAACCTCATGATAATCCCCTATCCTGTCATACACCGAAAACCCAGGTACAATCTCTGCACCATCCGCGGTAAAATCTTCCTCATAGTCTTTGGAGGAAAGTTCTATCCTGATAAGAAAAGGGAAATCAACCTGATCCGTCATCAGGATGCAGAGCTCCAGGGGAGGATCAGATGGAAGCGGGGCGTCTGGAGCAAAGAGGAAAAAAAATCATTAGACCAGGAACATTAATTAAGGAACAATAAATCACAAAACTCAATGCTTTATTTTAGGTTGCTGGCTGTGCCTGTGTGAGTTAGTCAGGTCTAAGTAGATTTAATAAATACGAACATCAATCTGTGAGCTAAAACTAATTAAAAAAACATCTAATCATTGCTAGTGGTTTGGTTAGTGTTAAAAGAAAAGTTTAAGTCGTTCTAAAAAAACACATACATACAAAAATACACACAAGTATTTATATATTTCTATATATCTGAGTTTATGATCCTCAGCATCAGTGGGAGGAGCATTTTTCTGATTTCACCGTCACAATGAGGAGTGATCGTTGTAAAGGGAGGACATTTTGCTCGTCCTCACCAGCTATTTTTGCTGACGGCTAATTTAAGAACAAGAAACTACAATATCCTTTAAATCACAAGACCAACATTAAATTGTTAATTTATTTTAAATTCAAATCTTTGATTTACTGGTTAATGGGGTTTAGATTTTTATTTCAGGATGTTAACAATAAATAAATTCTCTCTAAATGGTCCATTTTATTTCGATTACGCTCTCTACAATTACACTAAACTCCCACTAGGGGGCACGCGTCCCTCTTTGGGAACTGCTGACTAGAGACTGACATTTTTTCGGGAATCCCATGGGTCACGGGATTCCCGTGGGATTCCCGTGGGATGGGAGTCAGTATTAGTAACGATCACGGGATTGGGACGGTACAGGATTAAACATTAACGGGAGCAGACGGGAGCAGGAGCAAACCAATAGTAACTTCCGCTCTGAGTTTTTCACCCGCGCTCAAAAACAACAAGAATGGGAGTGGTGCAGGAGCGGGAGTCATTCTGAATGGGAGCGGGATGGGAGTAATTTCACCAGGAGTGGGATGGGACAGGATTTAGATTTCTACTCTGGCCCGGGATCGGGACGGGACACCATTTTTTTCTGTGGGAGTGGGACGGGACAGGAGTGAAAATCCACTCCCGTGTCAGTCTCTACTGCTGACCCAGACTATTCATTTGGATTGGTTCAGATTAAAGGACGTTTTAAACTGTAAACAAAAATTTTTTTTTTTATTCTTTATCGGGAAAAAAAAGTTTCACTGGGTGATTTGGTAATATAATCATGAATCTTTGAGGTTAATTAACTATAAGCAGAAAATTGTCCTAATTAACAGAAATTAAGGCTTAAAAACATCAGGCTTTAAATTTCAGATCTATAATTTCTCAGAATCAGAACCTCAGCTTATCAGACCCCTTCCTCAATGCATCCTAGAGTAGAAATAAAGACTTTTATTAACACATAGAAAGCCCAGAGCAGAAATGGAAATTAGCAAACTATTCAGAAGAATTTTGTTCTTTTTCTAAAACCTCTAAGAAAGGGTCCTATACAGAACCTTTAATGGTTTAGGCGAAACCCTCCAGTGTTGAATGTTTTGAAGATCTAGAAAATGAGTCCTCAATGAACAAATTGTATTGATTAAAAATTAAGAAATAGCTCAGAAATATGTTAAAATAATAAATTGTTCTAAATTGATGTTTTAATTCTACCTTCTCCCTATAAACATATCATCCTCCTTTCTAAACTCTTGATTAAACATTCATTCTCTATTTTTTTCCTCACACAGTTAGCAATGGCAGCACTTATAATAAACTTACTCAACTTCTAAACATGTTACAGCCCAAAAATGTAAATTATCTCATTTTTATTTCACAATAATTTTAAGCCTTATAGTTGTTTATTGTTGTATCGATAGACCATACTTGTTCTTTGACAGAAGGGGCCAGACGCCACCTTGTTTTTAAAGGATTGGAAACCAAATTCACCAAAAATGACCCTTTGAAACCAGAAACTTTAAAATAAAAAACATTTTTATCACCTTTGGCCTTCCATTAAATTAAAAAATATATGCTACCTTAAAAAAGCCTTAAAGTTGTTATTTGCATGTGTCCATGGAGACCAAAATGTCTACCACAGCATCTTTTAAAAAGCTACCCTTTCAAGTACCAATGTATGTAACAATATTTAGTTTATCCTAAAACAATTTATTTTGTATTTTTTAACCATTTCCACATGAACTTAATCAAAAATTATATTCTTAAACCAAAATATGTTTTTGTTTTATATCATTTCATCTCTGTTATCATTCCTCCTATTTCCAACCAATAAAACATCTATTTAATACATATTACCCCTTAAAAACTTTTTTAAAACACTGATAAAAAACTTAATTCCTAAAAACATTTACTAAACTAAACAACTTGAGAATCTTCATCTCTTCTTTTTTCCAGTTGTTTATCAGGTTTAAATTCAGTCGACTTCCAAAATACTAAAAATGATAACTTTTTTATTAAATGGAAAAAAGAAACAGTTTGGCTTGATAATATATTATGTTAGATGTCCTTCAAATATATTTGAATATTTATTGAATGTAATTTTACCAACATATCCATATAGAGCTAAATGCATTTTTTAAAAATCATAGTTTTTCATAGTTTTCGCCATCTAGTTTTCAAACATTTCACATCTAATTCAACAAAGGTGTTTCTCTCAAACAGAAATAAGAGTTATTTTCAAATCATTAAATCACTGTTAACATTCCTGACGAATTCAGTCGACTAAAAACATTTAATCTCTGAGATGTCAAAGATGCTACATGCTAACCTAGCTTAGCAGCTAGCTTAGCATGTAGCCAACTCCATGAAAAAAACATCAAATTAATCATTTTTTACCTAACATTTTTTTCATTAACATAGCAAAAGAGTGACATAAACCTTCCAGGTGATGTCCCGACAAGTTGTTCTCCTCTGGTGCGTTGCTCATCTTTAGCAGGTTAGCAAACCACAGACTGCAGCAAGTTCAAGCGTCAAGGTCCAAGTTAGAAATGAACGGTTAGAGATAGGCGCTCCGTGTCCATGACAACCGATGGGCCTGCGCATGCGCGCGTGTTTGAGAGCTTGCTAATTGCAGCAGCTAATTAGCCAAACAAAGCAGTTTTTTTTTTGTTTTTTGTTTTTTTTTTACAATACTATAGTTTCATCCACAGCTAAACGGGAGTTCAGTCAAAGTTCGCATTTAAAGAGGCAAAAGAGCGGGTTCTAAAGCTCACTGCTCACTTTCTAAGGTTTTCTGCCATAGTTTGAAATAGTGTACAATAAACCTGAATCTGAATTTGGAAATAAATTTTATTCTGAATGAGAGAAGTGCTTTTTTCCGTTCGCCATTATGATTATAGCCCAAATACAAACAACAGAGTATAAGGGCCAGGCTAGAGATTTTTTTAAGAATAAAGTCCTAATATTATGAGAATAAAGTTGAAAAATAACAAAAATGAAGCCATTATACCAACCAGCATATCATTTTAGACAGATTTATTTTGTCATTCCGTTAACACAAGTGTAAAACAAAAAGAAATGTTTTTAAGAACAGCTTTCTAGACAATTTTTAAGTGCAGCCTTGAAAACAGTAAAAAATAATAATAATATTAATATAATATTAACATATGACTGTATGTATAGTTCTAACATTTCAGGTTTTTTTTTATTAAATATAATAAATATAATAAAATACCATGAAAGAACCCATTTTACATAACATTAAGCAGTTAATGGGCGTAGATTTGATTTCAACTTTGTTAGGGACACTATTGGTCTTCAGTTTCATTGCTCTGATGTCAATGGTCCTTTGCAAAAACATGCATGCTCTTTTTTATACTTAATGTGAGCATCAGCACACATTTTGTTTAAAGAGAACCGCAGCATTTCTTGCTACATTAATACAAATTTTATAAGCACTGCACACACTAGATGCAGTTTATCAATGTTTAATGCATCACTGACAGCAACTAAGACAGTGCCTATTTAACCAAATATAGTCTAAATTTGTGGATTTATCCTGTGTTTTCTTTTGAATATATAGAAATCTGCAGAGGTAAACCCCACTCTTATTTTATTTTATCTGTTCTTTTTTATTTAATGTTCTGCTGTTTTGAATGTTTTAAAAGCAGTCTTATTTATTTTCAACCATTTTGTCTGATTAAAAGATTAAGAACCAATAAAATATCAGAATGATGAGGAGTATCCATAAGAGTAGGAGTATTGATAAATTCTTAATGATAACCATCCCTAACAGTTGCTGTTTTCAGATGCATCTGAGATACATCTTAAAACAATTTATTTCCCCCCCCCCAATCATCACAGCGAATAAAGCAAAGCTGCTCCCTCGCTGCCTGTAGAGATCGACAAAATGCGTCAGATGAGCTTGCACACATTTCAAAGTGCACTAGTTTCTAAGATGACACATTGGTGTGAATGCACCATCGCTCCTTTTTTAGTACCAGTTCTGAAAAAGGAATAATGGAAACATTTTGAATGTAGCTGAGCTGAGTGGAGCCGGTGTGAAAGAGGCATTAATGTTTGTTAATTCAGTTATGTTGAAGCAGGGATGCTCCTAAAAAATGAAACAATTCAGGACATGGAATCTCATCATAATGAAACCATCTGCATATTTTTGCTCCATTTGGATACTAGAGTACATCTAATATAAAGTCCTTGGCAAATCCTTGGCTTTCTTTGGTAGCAGCTAAACCAGCTGACATGTTCTGGACTGTAGGAACTAGGGTTGTCAAAAGTATCGATACTCAAAAAAGTATTGATACTGAAATGTTGTATCCGGATACAATACTCATTTTTAAAAGTATCGATACAGTGCTACCACCAGCGGCACCTAAGCAGTCATTCATCTAAAGTGCAGAATAGAGGACAATGCACTTTCAGAACACTGTGTGATTGAATAATTCTGTGCAATTTTCAGTTTCAGACTTTTTTTTGTAACAAGTGCAGCTGCTGAGAATTATTTATGTTTCTTAACTGGTTTGGCTAGTGTCATTGTGATGTGTGCAAAGCATAGCCAAGGAAGGAACAATAATTTTAATTTATAAGTTTTTTATCAAGCTTGCTTAATATTGTGCACAGCATACAACCTTTATTGTATTTTATGTATTAATGAAAATATTTCTGTAGAATTTTGGAGTCTTTTTTTTATCCTTATGGTATCGAAAATGGTATTGAGTATCGAATATTTTCCTTAGTATCGGTATCGAGTTGAAAAGTTTAGTATCGTAAAAACTTTAGTAGGAACCAGGCTCTGCTCTGTTACTCACATTGTTGGAGACCTGCCTGTAGGGAAACCTTCTCCTTCTTCTTCTTGTAGGCAGCATGCTGGTTCAGGTCGTAGTCTGCATCCATCTGCAGAAAGAGGTAATTGTTAAAGCTGATTTCTGCAATAGCACTTTGGGAGGAAAAGAAAAAGTGATTACTCACGGTGAAATCGTCACCCTCCCAGTGAGGTCCAGAGACTCCTCTTCATTATATTCACCCTGCTTTTCTTCCCGTGTCAGGGTATCAGGGCTCTGAAAATGCAAAAGAACTTCTAAAGTACAGACAACACAGCAGATTCACTACAGTAAACTAAAATTTGAAAAAGAAAGCAGCGGCTCACCGTCCAGCTCATCAACACTATTGTCACGGAACTGAGGCTTTTCCTCCTCCTCTTCACCATAGTATTAATCGCCAGTAAACCCCTGCTGAAATAATGTTTCAGAAATATAAAAAAGCTTCTTGTTTTTCATTTTCAAAGGGGCTACGTTGTCCAAGTTTCAATTCAATTCCGTTTATTTCTATAGCGCCAATTCACAACACAAGTCATCTCAAGGCACTTTACAGTTCACCAGATCATCCAGTCAGATTGATTCAAAGTTTTCTATCTAAGAAAAACCAGTTGATTGCATCGACTCATTAACTCAAATGCAATCCCTCACATTAAGCACGCTTGTAGCGACAGTGGAGAGGAAAAACTCCCTTTGAAGAGGTAGAAACCTCCAGCAGAACCAGGCTCAGTGTGAGCGGCCCTCTGCTGAGGCCGACTGGGGTTCAAGGAGACAGAAGCAGAGATACAAAAAGCAGCTGAAAAAGGCGGCCACGTCCAGGAAACACACAGCCAGGCAGACGAGCTTCGAGCCAGCTCCCATGTCAGAGGATGAAGAGAGCACATCCAGCCAGTCGCGGTCAGAGAAACAGGAGTACACTGGAAAACAGGCTGAGCTCCAGCATCTATAAACAAGGGTGTTGATGGAAGCAGCACAGCCACAGTCAAAGGCAGTACACAGAGAACTAGCAACCCAATCAACAAAAGCATCAACCTGTAAAGGGGAATTAGTACTCCTCTGACTATGATTGGTTTATCACTGGAAGGTGAGGCAGCGTCTTATGGAAGCAAATCGTTACCATATTTAAAATGAAAAAGCATTTTCAGAAATGCCTTTTCATTTTAAGAATGTGGCTTCATTGTTTGAATCATAAATAAAATTAGTAATTAATAATCCTGTTTGCATTTTAATTTTCTTCTTTAACACTGCTCATCCTTTCACTTAATTAAAATGAAAAAGAAAAAGACATTTGAGCTTTATTTTTCAAAATGTACCCCAGCAAATACATACCAAAATTCAAGTTGAAATTTTCAGAAATGCTTTTTCATTTTAAGAATGTGGCTTTATCTGACTCATAAAACCTGCTGTAATATTTTCCCCCTGTCTAAAACAGACAAAAAAGGTCCCAGCTTTTTCATTTTTGACTTATACTCATCTGTTATGATGAAAACTCACTCCTGAAACTTTGGAGGTGACAGACCTTTGTTTCTTAAAGTTACAAGGGGGGAACAGATTATAGCAGACCACCTGCTATAATCAGCGCCCCCTACCGAACAAGATGGCCCGGTCAGCAAGGACCTGAGGAAGAGCGGCTGCTGACGTCACTCTGCTGCGCCCGCCGCTCAGAATGCTTTTTCCTTTTCAAGTTATGGACAGTACTTTGCTGGCAGACCATGAAAAAAAAGGCAATGTCCGCTGTGTTTTCTCTTTGATTATGGCATAAAATGTGCAGTCTTAAGAAGAAAATGCAAATAGGATGATTGATTACTAATTACATTTATGAGTCAAACAATGCAGCCACATTCTTAAAATGAAAGAGATCCAGTTCCAACCAGGTTATTTAAGGAGGTATTCCCTTTGATCTCCTCCTCCATTTTAGATGGGATTAATCTATCTCTGTTACAGGGATATGTACCAAAGGCTTTTAAGGTTGCTGGAATTAAACCTCTGCTTAAGAAACCGTCTCTTGACCCAGATGACTTGGTCAATTATAGACCTATATCCAATCTTCCTTTCTGATCTAAAATTCTTGGAAATTCTTGGAAAACAGAAACAAATAGGAAAATACTCAGTACAAACTATGCAGATGTGAAGATGTAACATAAAGCAGAATGGGTTGTTGACTGTTTCAGAAACTCTTTAATTACAGTCAAAAGTTCCAAAAATCTTTCGAAGAATCTGCCACGACTCAGCCACCTGACGTCGGTGTGCAGCAGCAGATCAGTGTGGTCTACACCTGCCTCCTTGAGCTGGGCACGGAATAAACGCCTCTGAAAACTCCTGGCCCAAACAGAGCAAGCGATCTTCATCGCAACGTCCATGACATGCTTCATATTTAAAATATTGACGCACAGCTGTTGTTGATGAATGATGCAGTGGTAGCTCCAAAAATCTGGGAAAGTTTCAGACAGCTTGAACAGAGCAACAAATCTAGCAGTGCGTCCAACCATAGATGGAGCCCCAGCAGTTGTGATAGATGTCATTATCTCATTATCTTTGCAGATTCCTCTTCACGCTTTAGAGTCCCTGGTAACCTAGCAACCGTGGCAAACCATGCCCAGCAATCAGCATGCATAAAAAAAGGTTCCCTGCATACTTTTTATTTTTCAATTTATTATTATGAAAATAAACATTGGCCTCTCGTCATCAATGATTTGATTACTGTTTTTTAAAACTT